CAGGCCCAGCAAGGGGCCAGCTGATGCTGATGATGCTCGCCTTGTCGGCTGTTCAGGCCCAGCAAGCGGCCAGCTGATGCGGATGATGCTCGCCTTGTCGGCCGTTCAGGCCCAGCAAGGGGCCAGCTGATGCAGATGATGCTCGCCTTGTCGGCCCGTTCAAGCCCAGCAAGGGGTCAGCTGATGCTGATGATGCTCGCTTTGTCGGCCCGTTCAAGCCCAGCAAGGGGCCAGCTGATGCTGATGATGCTCGCCTTGTCGGCCAGGTCAGGCTGATGATGCTCGCCTTGCTTGCCAGGTCAGGCCCAGCAAGGGGTCAGCTGATGCTGATGATGCTCGCCTTGTCGGCCAGGTCAGTCCCAGCAAGGGGCCAGCTGATGCTGATGATGCTCGCCTTGTCGGCCAGGTCAGGCCCAGCAAGGGGCCAGCTGATGCTGATGATGCTCGCCTTGTCGGCCAGGTCAGGCCCAGCAAGGGGTCAGTTGATGCTGATGATGCTCGCCTTGTCGGCCAGGTCAGGCCCAGCAAGGGGCCAGCTGATGCTGATGATGCTCGCCTTGTCGGCCAGGTCAGGCCCAGCAAGGGGTCAGCTGATGCTGATGATGCTCGCCTTGTCGCCCGTTCAGGCCCAGCAAGGGGCCAGCTGATGCTGATGATGCTTGCCTTGTCGGTTTGCAATTTGGGTTCTTTTTGTGTCTCGCGATGTGCCCTATGTAATTCGGCACCCTCAAAACGGACCCCCGCGAACCGGAACCCCTGAACACACCTGAGTCTCTGCACACGACAAGCCAGGGCAGCTTTCAATCCTGGTCGAGTACTTGGGTTTAATCACCTTCTCCAAGTACACCGCTGCTAAGCAGGAGGCTACCTCGAGGTGGCACTGGGACTTTCGCTCAAGAGAGATCGGAGGGGTTTCGAGCCTTTTGGCTTGTGGTCCGACGTTAGGGGGGTTCAGTCTATCTGCAAAATTCCAAAAAAGAACAACCAACACCTCCATGCCATTTGTTGACAGCTCGGTCAATCTGACATCTGGAGTTGCACAACCCTAAACCCTAAACCCTAAACCCTGCACCCCAAACCCTAAACCCAGCAGCTGCTGAAAAAACAAAGCCTTTCACATCGGCTTGTCTGCGGGGACACATTCGGTGTTGGGGTTTGGACCTCGAAGTCTTTGGGGGCCTTGAGGAGTTGACTCTGGATGTTGGGGCTCTATAACAGGCTGCCGACCTGCCCTGAAGCCTGAGGACACACTTCACCCTAAACCCTAAACCCCTTAACCCTAAACCCTGAACCCTGAACCCTGAACCCTAACCCAACAAGAACACCCAAAGCCCGCGAAGTTCCAAGGGTTCGAACGAGTGCCGGCGATCTCGGCTTCAGGCGATGGACAAGAGATTGAAGTCGACCGCCTGACAGCAAAATCACGACAAGTGAGCAACTTACTGTTGGTTCGCAGGGAATGGGGGTTTGAGGTACCCTATTTAATCCCTTAAAGGTTATATAAAAATGAATAAATATATGTATAGATATATATGGGTCACAAAATATATGTATATATATATAGGGCCCTAATTCATTCCCTACCAACCAACAGTATGGAACGGGTTCTTGGCTCAGATCCACTTCTGAGCCTATGGCAAATCATCGTTTGGGGACCCCTAAACCCTAAACCGTCCTGGCATCCAACCGTCAGTTTCGGGTTCAGGGTCCGGAATGTTAACCCAGATGGTTTAAAACCAAAACTCTAAACCACGCTAAACCCCAAAACCCAAAACCCCAGACCCTAAACCCTATAGCTGAAGCCGCAAAGCTTGGGAGTCTTGAACGAGGCGTCCGCGAGGTGCACAAGTGTAGGGTGACTAGGGCTTCGGCGCCTTTAAGTTCGATACTCAGGCTGGGTTGAAGACGAGGGGCCCAACAAAACCTAGGATCCTCGGGTCCACATGCTCAAAAGAGAACCCTAAGCCCTTTTGACCCCGCGCGCTCTGACGGGTCCGTGGCTGCCGAACAGCCCTGCTGTGCGTCCGCTGATTTGCAACAGGTGCCCCTGACAAAAGCCCTAAACCCTAAACCCTAAGCTGCAAGGGGTTCATCGCACCCTGAGTCCACAAAGAGAAAGGCCCTGGTTTTTGCATCAGGACTGGGAGGGGATGCAAGACGAAGCCGCGCGCACGACTTCGTCAGCTCTACTGGCTGACACGGCAGAAATAGCCCAAAATCCCTACAAGCGGGTTCTCTCAACCTTGAAGCCCTAAACCCTAAACCCTAAACCCTAAACCCTACACCCTAAACCCTAAGCCCTAAGCCCTAAGCCCTAAGCCCTAAGCCCTAAGCCCTAAGCCCTAAGCCCTAAACCCTAGCCTTGAAGCCCTAAACGGGGTCCTGGGGCGCAAGAACCCTAAACCCTAAACCCTAAACCCTAAACCCTAAACCCTAAACCCTAAACTCCGAGGCCTGGCTCTTGTGTGCTTTCCTGCTGTCGGGACCCTCGCCTCAGGCGAGCCGGTCAACTTCGAAGAGCACATGGGCAGTTCTCTAAGTTGATTCTTTATATATATATATATATATATTTTTGTTTTTAATTTTAGTTTTAAAAAATATTTGCTTCTTGTTTTTTTTGGGGAAAGGGGGGGGGGGGGAGGGGGGTTTCCTTTTTTGTTTTTTTCTGCGGCGCCCTTGTAAGAAGGACCCAAGAAGGGACCCGAATTTAAGGAACCACCTTCATGACGGTTGGCTGCTCGTGTGCTGGGAATGCAAGGCGTCCAGGAAACCCCAAGACCCCCCACAGCGAGACAAAGATCGACTTAAGTAGTTACTGCGCGCTCTCTTCTTCTGCTTTCTCTCACAGGAAAGGCCTGAGGTACTGTGCGGTTTTTGGTGGCTGACAAGTCATGGACTCAAAGGCAACTGAAAGGGCGCCCTGCGGGTACCCAACTCAACGAAGATCATGATGCTCAGAGTGAGAAAGACGAGGCCGTGAACCTGCAAGACAGGAATGACTCTTTGTGAGGCCCTACACAGGGACACGGGGTAGACACATTGACTGGGCTGTGTCGGAGGGTGTGCACATATAATACATGCATCTCTGCAGGCGTGCTGGCTCTGCACATGAAAAATAACCAATTATTCACACACACACACAGATATATATATATATATATATATATATATATATATTACGTGTGTGTGTATATGTGCATGTATTTCTTCACATTGCTTTTTTCTACGCATCTAGACGGAAACGGCACGCGTAGCTGCAGCATGGACAAAAACAAATTGCATGACGAAAGAATACACCACAGCTTGGTCCATGCAGCTGTAGCTGCGGCAGGTGCTGAGGTAGGAGTTTAGGGTTTATAAGAGGTTCAGGGATTATAGGGTTTGTAGGGTTTATAGGGTTTATAGGGTTTATAGGGTTTAGGGCCTAGGGTTTAGGGCTTAGGGGGCCTCCAACCAGCCGTAGTTGCGCTGGAAGATCAGAGAGCTCAGCAGGGCGCACAGCGGCATGTACAGAAAGCCTTGGCGTCCGGGATTGAGAGCCTTGCGGTGTTGGGAGAAGGAAACAGGGTTTAGGGTTTAGGGTTTAGGGGTGCGCATGAAGACAACCTGTCAGACCTCACACAGACAAGTGGCACTTGACAGTTGCAAACCGCTGGGGAACGAGCCTGTGACCATGATCACGGCCTGGGAAACCCAGAGCAAGCCGCCAATCACACGGGCTTAATGTGCTTCAAAAAGAGTTTGGGTTTATCTGGGTGGTTATGGTTTAACAAGGGTTTCTTATGGTTTGATAAAGGTTTGGGCTTATTCTGGGTTTGTTCTGCTTCTTTCCCCGCAGATCTAGAAATAGCATTCGGTGCACGCCTTCGTGGTACCAGGAGACAGGAAGTTCTAGCCCCAGGCTTTCGCGCTTCCAGGCCGTTTGAGGCTTCAAGACCACCACACAAAAAACAAAAAACAAACATAGTTGTATATATATATATACGTATGTATGTATATATGTATATATATATATGTATATGTATATATATATATGTGTACATAGATATATATATATGTAAACACAGAAGCGGTAGACCTGCTGCAAGGCTGGCACACGTGCAGAGATGTCCAGGCCGCAGCTTCCCCGTGAGTGCCATCCCTGAATTCCAAACCCTAGTCTTGGGATGTTCCGTTTAGGGTTTAGGGTTTAGGGTTTAGGGTTTAGGGTTTAGGGTTTAGGGTTTAGGGTGTAGGGTGTAGGGTGTAGGGTGATGGTAGGTGCCCACTATTATAATCCCTATTAGGACTGTCAGTATACACTAAACCCTGAACCCTGATTCCTGAACGCTGAACCCTCAACCCTGAGCCCTAGACCCTTTTGCTTTGCATGAATGCCGCCAAGTCAGAGCGGGCTTGTCTCAATGGGCAAAGAAAAACTAGTCAGACAAAAACCTACTCGCCGGGCTGATGAACGCAAGTAAGAGGCTCAAGCGCTGCGCAGACCCTAAACCCTAAACCCTAAACCCTAAACCCTAAACCCTAAACCCTAAACCCTAAACCCTAAACCCAAACCCCAAACCCTAAACCCTAAACCCGCCGAAACCCTGAACCCTTTTATGAAGTGCCCCCAGGGGCCGTGGCAGCTCCGAGCCCCTGCACGATCGCAAAGGCCAGGGCGCTCTGGCCTGAGGCTTGGGAGGGTTTGTAGGGCTCAGGGGTGTTTAGGGTTTAGGGTTTAGGGTTTAGGGTTGGAGGGTTTACCAGCACCCCCCAACGACCCGTTAATGCGAAAACTTAGGAAGGACGGTTAATAGAGGAGACTTCTGCAAAATTGACTTAACAGACACTTGTGTCTTGGTTGGAGTGTCTTTGGGAGCATGATTCTTGCAAGTGGCCGGCTAGAGTAGAAGGACTAGATAGGGTCTTTGGTTGGTGGATTGCTCTTGGGGGCCCTACATCGACATCTATGTCCTCTCTATGCCACCGGTGAGGTGCGAGCACGCGCTGCCGGCATGGTTTTATCTTTCCAGCATGCGTAGCCAACGACAGCAGACATAGGCTGCGTAACGTGCTAGGACTTGACGACCCAGCTGTTGTGGGTGCGATTTCATTGCCAATCTCTTCATTTTCCCCACCTTGGTTGTGCGCGCTGATGTGTCCCAAAACAACGAGCATCGCTCCATGCAAACTGAACAGCACCAGTTTGGTTCTCACAGCGCACACGACAAACAAACACACACACACACACACACACACAGACAGACACACACACAAACACACACACACACACACACACACAGAGACCACACACACACAACACACAACACACACACCACACACACACAACACACAAGACACAACACACAACACACACATACACACAACACACAACACACACAACACACACAACCCACACAACACACACAACCCACACAACCCACACAACCCACACAACACACACACACAACACACACACACACACACACAAGACACACACACACACACACATAGCACACACACACACACACACACTCACATGCGAAAGTTGCAGCTGGAACACGGCGTCTTCGTCCATGTAGCAGCTCAGGACAAGAGGGTTCACCCGAGGTGCGAGGTCGAAGGCCAGGTGGTCAGCCCTGAAATGCAGCACGCGGAGGAAGTGTTTAAAGAGCAGTTACATCATCCACATGTCTGAAGAATAGATTCGATAAGGCACTTGTGAACCTTGGGTCGGATTTTCCAGAGCAATCGTCCATGATCGATGGCCTCGACGGCCAAACCTGAGATCGAGTTTGGCAGGATTAGGTGCTGACGAACACGAGAAAGCAACAAATGCTCGAAACAAGAAGCTGTTCAGCGCTGAATGGTACAAATAATTGGACTGCTGCAGCTTCTGGATGTTAGCTTCAGAAAGAGTGCAGAAAGGGTTATCTCTTTTCAGGGATATCGCATCCCGCATCTGCGCCAAATTGATGAACACAACGGCTCGGAGCCTCACAGCAAAAGCTAGTTCAATCAGTTTACAGCAAACTTACTCCACTTCAAGCCGAAGCCGCGCAGAGTGGACATCACCAGGATTTCGAGCAGCCTCTGCCAAGCAAATCCCCATAAGCCATTTGGCCATGACCACAGCTTCCTTAGTGCAGCGGCAGTACCAAAGAGAATCTTGCACTCGTGCTTTGAGAAAGATTTGTAGCACCAGTTACTCAACAAGAGTCTGCTCCATTCATGTGCTTCTGCGCGATCGTCGGGAACTGCACGTTGTTCTTTTTTGTCTCGCCTGTCAGCTGCTTCCTTACTGTGTTTTCGGAAATGGAGTCGTGTCACTGCCTTTGTAAGCGAAAACTGCCGTCCAGAAGCAGTGAAAACACTTTGGCTCGGCTTCCTGAGGTGCAATAGGTTCTTTCATTCTTATGCACATGTCCACAGAGGAAATCTCGAAACGTGAGCAAAGTGGCTGATATTGTGCTGCTTGCACAAAGCACTGAACTGAACATACGCAGCGCGTAGGCGATCGTCCTGGTCCCGTCCGGGGAAAGGTCCATTGGAATTCTCGGTCAGTTCCAACAAGGCAGACGCGGCTGCGTCCGGTATCAAAGTAAGGTCAATGATATGAAGCCAGTCGTTTGTGACCATGGAGATGTGGAAGCCCGGCAATCTGATGAAAGGGTTTGCTCTGCATCCGTTCAGGATGAAGTCCGATGTAGTCATCATCCTCGGTTAAAGGTCTGAGTAGGCTTTGTACATGACACCTTGAGGTTGCAAAAGAGCCTTGTGACGAAGGCCATGTGGCGTTTGCCGGTGTGGAGCACTGGGACCATGGTATGTGTACAGGTTTGGGGACGACGAGTCACTTGTAGCCTGCAAGCAGCAGAAATGAAACCTAGGCAAACTTTAATACACAGACCACACCTGGCAAACAAAGCAGATGTTCTTGCTTGTCGCCGAGTTGATCATGTGGTAGGCCTGACGAGGTACTTGCAGGCTGCGACATTTTCAGAAGCACCTTGTGAAATTCCTGCCTTTTGCATGTACTTCTCATCACCTTTGTGAAATGCGAGCACAGCCCGCCAACCATTTGCGATGGTGCCTTTCTTCCCGCCTCGCACATTATACATGAGTGCTGAAAGCTACAATCGCACACAAACAGCACAGAAACACTGTAGCTCCAGTCAGGTGTCGGTTAAAGGGCCGCCCCCATGGGTCGACGTCAAGCCAGTGTCCCAGCATCAACTCTACCAGAGACCACGTGGTCCACATATCAAGCGCAGTGTAGCAGTTCTCATCACATTGGCTGTTGTCGCCAACGTAAACGACAAACTTACTGTCCCATGGGGTGGCGTGCACAACTGCTGACCCCCATGTCACGACCATGAAGGAGCGCCTGCGGTGACACTCGGCATCGTCACCATGTAAGACTAGAGGAACTGTTTTCTTCAGGTCCATGTCCTTACTGGAGTACACACACACACCAGCCACGTTAACAGTTGAACATGAACTCTACACAATTTCAGCTTGAGCGCTGCCAGGTAAGGATGGGAGACAAACCACTCGGTGGACGAGTTCCGATCCCAGAAGTCAGCCATGGCCTCTCGAAAGGTTTTTTGGGGCTTAACGGATTCCGAGGCGGTTTGATGTTCTAGGTGCGTCTACTATATGGTACCTTGAGGACCTTTGTGCCTGGGGTTTGGATTGAGATGGGTATGGGTTGCAGACAGCCAAGGCGCGCCAGGCTCCCCGACCACAAGTTTCTGGAATAGGTCCTCGTCATAGGCAAACATTGAAGCAAACCTCAGGTAGGGGACAGCCACAGGCATGTGCATGTTTCTCTAGATTTTACTCAGAAACGGGCATATAGCTGATGGAGATATTGAGGCAGCGAGCGCTTCACTGGGAAGAAACATGTGCCATTTCCCGAGATAGGAAGGCTCATCTCTCTTCATATCAGTCTCAGCACAGGTGCTTTCTCTGTAACTGGCAGGAACCCCCCTGCAACGTAAATCTTTGTGGCCAACATTAAGCACGAGGCACCAGGACGACATCCACCCTCAGAATCACACCCCGCTTCAGTTCCCCCGCACCGTTCACAACACAATGCTTCCACCGAGGTCTGCAGCCCAGCTGCTCCCAAGGCGCCGGAAGCATGGCCCGCCAGGCTTGTTTATCCAGCCACCGCCAAAACGCACGGGCTTTGTGCTTGCTGTCCCCGGTCATCGTATCATTCAGATCACAAAGATTCTTCCTGAGATGTGACTATGGGTTCATGCGTGTCGACGCATGTTGCAATGCATCCTTTCTGATAGCAGCCATGTCTCGGTAGCAGCCGACGTGGAAAACGCCGGTGTATTACTTGTAGCATCTGTACGAGAGTTGCAACGCTGACCTCAGGAGCAGGAGCTGCAGGGGCACATCGAAGATACTGAAACCTTTACTGATCAAGCAAAGAAATATAAAGCATGATCGAGTCACATCCTTGCCCAGCTCCAAAAATTCCTCCACGATGTCCATAGTTGTCTAAGTACCCCATCCCTCACACATGTCCACGACGCAGGCATGCGAGCATGAGCTGGTGACGGGTTGATTTTCGGGGTTTGCTGACACACAACAATTGAACACAGGGCTCGGGGGTATCACCTGGGAGCCGACACAAGCTGTCAAGCCGTCGATGGCAGGCTGCATCTATTCAACTTCCTCTGGCAGCTCGACAGGCGCTCAGATTTGCACACCAGCTCGTTGGATGCCATTTTGCCCGAGCCAGTGACTTGCACTTGTGCAACACATGCAGCAATGTTTTCACTGCCACATGCACCGGTACCCGTTTGCAAAGCAAGAACATGTGTCCAATAACACACAGTCTTGGATGCCTTGCTTCCCCATCTCTAAACCGCAGTTAAACCGTCAAGGCCTCAGGCATACTAAGTGCACGCGACGATCGTGAGCTGCGCTGCGGCACGCGTGTCTACACTGGAGTGTTCGCAGGCTATAAGTGATTGTTCCTCTCACAGCTCAGCAAAAGGTGCACAGGCCCAGCCTAAAATGATGATAACTGCGATCGCGTGGACGTATGGCTTCGCCAAACTAGTCATCGTCTTCATCATCATCATCTTCTTCTTCTTCGTCACCATCGCTGCCCTTCTCCTCAGCCGTGTCCTTTGGCTTTCTACTTTCCTTCGACTTGACTGAGTGGATTCTTCTGGCAGCATCCTTCAAATCGTTGTCCGCCAGGTCGATAACCCCCAAGGCAGTTTCTGACAGCCAGGCATTCCACGCCTCAGCATCACTACAGGTCTTCTCCTGCTCTAATCTCTCCTTCACCGCAGCGAGCGCAGCGTCGACCTTTGGTTCGATGTCGTGCAGGGACTCGACCTGCGTGAAAGTGCATCATGCGCAGACACAGAATGTAGTTTTTATGTTGCATGCCATGTCAGTTCATGCACGCCGAGGCCACTGCAAGCTCCTGGCAGTTGCGAATCTTCAGGCCCTTGATTTCAACCAACTTCGCAGGGATCTGCCTTGAGAATCCTTCTAGCCTTAGGAAAGATCGACACACTACTTTTGAGTCTGGTTAAGAACTGCGCAAATCAAGCAAAGAAGTTTGCATTGCATGCCAGCTGCTTGGACTTGGCTGCCTTCGTGTCCTTGTAAGCCTGCTGCGCTGGGGTGAGGCTTTTCTTTGCCTTCCTTGGTGCGGAGATGAGTGGTGCAGGCCACCACTCAGGGGTTCACTTATTATCAGATCTGGCCAAACATACAGCATGTTTTGTCTAGTGCAGAGCAGCATCTTCCCGGTGATGCGACCAGTCTTCACGTCCAAAAACCCCACCGAATCTAAGTTCGCCGCGAAGTCACCAAGCTGCTTTGCGAGCAGCTTCTTTGCATTCGCTTCATTCACTCGTCCACCAAGCTTCATCTAAGATAATAGTAGACTGCGTGAAGCTGCAGTGTTGTTCTGACATTGGCCCCCCCCCTTGGGAAGAAAAAGACATAATTTAGCTTAGGCACACCGGATGTTCCTTTCGAGCCCTGGCTCTTCTCCTCTACGACTTCCTTCAAAACCTTAAACATTTTCGCTTTTGGCACATCTGGCGCCTGCCACAACAGGTCACAGCTAGCAGTGTAGATTAGCAGCATTGTCTCCTCAACAAGACCAACAACAATGGCCTGCGGATGAGGCGTGCCAGCTTGTCCTGAAAGCAAAGTGTTAATGTGTGCATGTGTGTGTTGTGTGTTGTGTGTTGTGTGTGTTGTGTGTGTTGTGTGTGTTGTGTGTGTGGTGTGTGTGGTGTGTGTTGTGTGTGTGTTGTGTGTGTTGTGTGTGTGTGTGTGTGGGTTGTGTGTGTTGTGTGTGCGTTGTGTGTGTGTGTGTGTTGTGTGTGCGTTGTGTGTGTTGTGTGTGTTGTGTGTGTTGTGTGTGTTGTGTGTGTGGTGTGTGTGTTGTGTGTGTTGTGTGTGTTGTGTGTGTTGTGTGTGTTGTGTGTTGTGTGTGTTGTGTGTGTTGTGTGTGTTGTGTGTGTTGTGTGTGTTGTGTGTGTTGTGTGTGTTGTGTGTGTGTGTGTGTGTTGTGTGTGTGTGTGTGTGTGTGTGTTGTGTGTGTGTGTGTGTGTGTGTTGTGTGTGTTGTGTGTGTTGTGTGTGTTGTGTGTGTTGTGTGTGTTGTGTGTGTTGTGTGTGTTGTGTGTGTTGTGTGTGTGTGTGTGTGTTGTGTGTGTTGTGTGTGTTGTGTGTGTTGTGTGTGTTGTGTGTGTTGTGTGTGTGTGTGTGTGTTGGGTGTGTTGTGTGTGTTGTGTGTGTTGTGTGTGTTGTGTGTGTGTGTGTGTGTTGTGTGTGTTGTGTGTGTTGTGTGTGTTGCGTGTGTGTGTGTGTTGTGTGTGTTGTGTGTGTTGTGTGTGTTGCGTGTGTTGTGTGTGTTGTGTGTGTTGTGTGTGTGTGTGTGTGTGTGTGTGTGTGTGTGTGTGTGTGTTGTGTGTGTTGTGTGTGTGTGTGTGTGTGTGTGTGTGTGTGTTGGTGTGTGTGTGTGTGTGTGTTGTGTGTGGGTTGTGTGTTGTGTGTGTTGTGTGTGTTGTGTGTGTGTGTGTGTGTGTGTGTGTGTGTGTTGTGTGTGTGTGTGTGTGTGTGTGTGTGTGTGTGTGTGTTGTGTGTGTTTGTGTGTGTGTTGTGTCTGCTGTGTGTGGTGTGTGTGTGTTTGTGTGCGTGTGTGCATGTGTGCGTGCGCGTGCGCGTGCGCGTGTGCGTGTGGGTGTGTGTGTGTGTGTGTGTGGGTGTGTGTGGGTGCGCGTGTGCACGCATGTGTCTCTGTGTGTGTGTGTGCGTGTTTTGATTGAGTGTAATGGTTGTGCCTTTGACCAGGGTGGCGATGAATTCTTGGGCTTCCTTGGAGGTGCCGTAGATCTTCTCCAGTTGGAAAATTGACACCTTAAGTGTTGTGGAGGGGAGGGGAGGGGAGGAGGGGGGGAGGAGGAGGAGGGAGGGGGAGAGGGGGGATGCAGGGGGTAGGGGGGGAGGGGGGAAGGGGGCAGAGGGGAGTGGGCAGCCAACACACATCGTGTCACACACACACACACAGACAGACAGACGGAGTCTCTATCTGAGATCGCAGCTGTAACGTACTTGTCAGTACGCAGATCCTCCACCCAAGACTCATACTTCTCTTCCACTTCGATCGCAGCCACAGATTGGTTGCAGATGAACACTTTCAGCATCCCGAACCTGCCCGGCAGGAGCGATGGGATTCAACGAACGTCTACAAGGCCTGCGCAGAAGCACACTTTCATGTAGACCTGTCTGCGTCGGAACACAGGGAGTACTTCGCAGTGAGGGCCGGATTTGCATTTCGCAGTATCGCTCTGCGAAGTGCCGAGTACTGTCGCTTGCGCTCGGCTCTTGGCATGTCCTACGTGCTACAAAGAACAGCCAACCTCGATTGAGAGCTGCGCAACCTAACAAATGCAGCAAGATGCTCCTGCGGGCTTGTCATGCTGTTGATGCTCTGCTTCTCCTCTTCGGTCAGGGCTTTGGCTCGCCTGGTCTTGCCCTGCGCAGCCACGGGCCTAGATTTGGAAAGTCCACCCTAGGTGTGTAGAAGATCACATGACTGACCCCCCAGCCTCCTCTACCTCGGACCCACCCACAGACTCTGCAGTTGCACCTCTCCCAAAGCAGATGCTCGGAATAGTGTCACATCGACGAGGCCTCTTCGAGGGAGGTGTGTCTTCAGTGCCCTGAAAGTCAAGGCTACGCCGAGACCCCTGAATCGAAGAAATGTCTGTGCGGGTAGATGCTCCGGTTGACGGTGTTGCAGTCGAGGTTGTGGGCGTAGGCGTGCCAGCCTCACATTGTAAGTAGACAACAACGTACATGTAAGACTTAAAACACATGTTACATATCTGAACATGCAAAGGCCTCCTCCGGTGCGATTCTTTCCTGCTCTTTCTTCTTGCTTGCCTCTTTAGAACCCTTTGGATCATCCTTGTCCTTCTTTACCTTCTTGTCCTTCTTCTGCTTCTTGTCTTCTTTGTCTGCCTGGCGAGGTTGCTGCTTGCCTTGGGCAGGCGAGGGTGTGGCAAGACTGGCGTCTGGTGTGCTGTTGACCTGCGCAGGAGCTTTCGGCAGGCTGCGCACAGGGGCGGTGTCTGACTTGTCTGGGCTTTGGCTGTTCTCCTTGTCTTGGTTTTCCTTCACAGGCCCTTTGTGCTTGCTGCTTTTGTGTGCATCCTTCTTGGCTGCCTCCTGCACATTTGCAACCCCGCCCTGATTGTGCGTTCTAGGCTTCTTGGTTTCCGAAAGCATCTCGGCCTCTGCCTTCCTCCTCCCTTGCTGTTCCTGCTGGCTTTCCTTGGGAGCAGCTGCCTTGCTGGCCTCAGTCCTGGCGATCGCCTCGGTGCTCGCGGCCTTCTTTTCCTCCTTGGACTTTTTGGCTTGCTCTTTGCCTGTCTCGGCCGACTTTGCACTTTTGTCCTTCGGCTTTGAGGCTGTGTTGTCAGCTGCCTCTTTGCTTGCAAGACCCTGCTCAGTGTTCTTCGGCGAATGCTTGTGCAATTCCTTGGTGGTGGGTGCTCCTTTGTCCACCTTGTTCTTCTTCTTCTTCTGACTTGTGACACTTTCCTTGTGGCCTTCCTTGGGGGCTGTCTCACCGGTCTGGCCCTGCTGACTAGGGCCATTGTGTTGCTTGTCCTTCTTCGCTTCCTTGGCTGGCTCTTTGCCTGGCTCGCTCGACATCATGCTTTTGTCCTTCTTTTTCGAGGTCGCTTTGTCAGGTAGGCCGTTGCTTGACTGGGCCTGCTCAGTGGGACGCCCACTGTTCTTGCTTGTCTCCTTCCTGTGCTCTTCCTTGCTGACGGCTGCTGCTCGCTTGCCTTGGTCGTTCTTCTTCTGCTCGTCGGCGTTGGTTTCCTTGCGGCCTTGCTTGAGTCTTCCCTGGCTTGCCTCTCTCTGCTCACTGGCCGCTCCGTTTTCTTTGGCTGGCTGTGGTGCCCCTTTCGTGCGCGCGTGCTTGTCTTGGATGTCCTTGGCAGCTTCTGCAGGAGCTTTTTGCCTTGCCTTGTTCTCCTCATCTGTGCTTTCCTTGCGGGCTTCCTTGGGTGCTTGTTGGCCCCGAATGTTGTTCTCGTGGCTGCTGTCCTTCCTTCCATTCTGGCCTTGCTCGGCTGCTGCTGCAAGCTGTCCTGGTTTCTTCTTCTCTTGGGCTTTCTCTTTTGGGGCCACCTTGCTGCGGTCTTCAGCTGCTTTCTTCGCTTTCTTCTCTTTCCCCTCTTTCTTCTCTTTCTTCTCTTTCTGCTCTTTCTTTTCGGGCTTTTCTATCATCTTTTCACTCAACACATTGACCAAACTCTCGATCGATGGTGAGCGTTCCTCGGCTTTGCTTTCCTCCGGGCGCTGTCTCTTCTGCCTGGTGCCGCTCGGGGCTTTCTGCTGCATACCCCTCAGGAGTGCTGCTTTGGTTCGGGCCGCGCTGCTGGTCGGATCTGCGCACCAACCCAGGGAAGCTGCGTGCATAACATACGAAAAACGTTTCTGTGTACATGTTGCAAACAAAGTAGCAGTCGGCCTGCCATGTTTCCACGCTGACAAAACTACAACCGCACAAGCCTACTTAGGCCAAGCGCCAGGAGTGATTCACACAAGGCAGTTTCAGCGAGACACATGCTGCACGGACCGGCACTAGACGCAGCGCATTGGAGGGCACTTGCGCGTGAAACTGGAAACTGGAGGTCGGATGCATGAAGAGGCACTCGTGCTGAGCACGGAGCGCGTCAAGCCAGCATTTTGGTCGCCGAGCTTGCTGTCCCGAAATCCACTGAACAGGCCCCAAAGTGACACGGAATGACACGCAATGACACGCTCTGCCGGTAGGCCTAAGTACCCGTTAAGTATGTAAGTGGCCGTTATTAAGGGGGACTATGTGGCAGGGTGACACGCAGTGACACGCAGTGACACGCACACTTCGAGTGCCGGGTGTCCGAGGGATCTCGTGAGGCCAAAATGGGGTTTCAAGGCCTAGGCTGGGCACAGGTTCCATTCTACATCCCTCAAGGATCCCAGGCCACCTCCCAAAACCTTACAGAAGCTTCCTCCACTGACATTTCTGTGGGGAGTGCACCACGTCATCAAGGGGGCCATCCTCACTGGCACTGTCGTCCTCAATGTAACGGGTTGCGACGAGAGGTCTGTGGGAAAGGATGGCCTCGCGTAGCAGCCTTGCCAAGCTACAAGTGCAAGTCAAGGTTGATCTTTTGTGCTAGGTTCTGATGCCACAACTTTCTTTATGTGTATAAAGCCGAGATTCGGAGCCATTGCATAACCAAAGCCAACAGGGTAAGCAGCACTAGCAGAAAGACTCTTCGCCAGGCCAGTCACACGTTTCTTTCCGTTCTTGTCTGTGTGCCGACGTACCAATGACTTCCTCCTTATATATGAGAAAGAAAGCAGATGCACGTGTGGCCATGCGTAGGTATCGTGCTATCTAGTGCAGCCACAGTACCGTTTCCCAAGCAGGCTTTGCACATACTTGAACGAAATCGGGCGCCTGATTCCTTCCAAGATAGGAGCTGGGAGGGTCGACCACAGCCTGAGCTTCAAGCCCATGATGCACCGAGGCCCACACACGTGGCCCGCAGAAGCTTTGGGTCCAGGACGGCAGGGCAGCGAGCGCTAAGTCTGAGGGTTAGAAAGAGAGAAAGAGAGAAAGAGAGAAAGAGAGAAAGAGAGAAAGAGAGAAAGAGAGAAAGAGAGAAAGAGAGAAAGAGAGAAAGAGAGAAAGAGAGAAAGAGAGAAAGAGAGAAAGAGAGAAAGAGAGAAAGAGAAAGAGAGAAAGAGAGAAAGAGAGAAAGAGAGAAAGAGAGAAAGAGAGAAAGAGAGAAAGAGAGAAAGAGAGAAAGAGAGAAAGAGAGAAAGAGAGAAAGAGAGAAAGAGAGAAAGAGAGAAAGAGAGAAAGAAGAGAAAGAGAGAAAGAGAGAAAGAGAGAAGAGAGAGAGAAAGAGAGAAAGAGAGAAAGAGAGAAAGAGAGAAAGAGAGAAAGAGAGAAAGAGAGAAAGAGAGAAAGAGAGAAAGAGAGAAAGAGAGAAAGAGAGAAAGAGAGAAAGAGAGAAAGAGAGAAAGAGAGAAAGAGAGAAAGAGAGAAAGAGAGAAAGAGAGAAAGAGAGAAAGAGAGAAAGAGAGAAAGAGAGAAAGAGGGAAAGAGAGAAAAGGAGAAAGGGAGAAAGGGAAAATAAAAGAGAGAAAAGAGAGAAAGAGAGGAAGAGAGGAAGAGAGGAAGAGAGAAAGAGAGAAAGGAGAGAAAGAGAGAAAGAGAGAAAGAGAGAAAGAGAGAAAGAGAGAAAGAGGGAAAGAGAGAAAGAGAGAAAGAGAGAAAGAGAGAAAGAGAGAAAGAGAGAACGAGAGATAGAAAGAGAGAAAGAGAGAAAGAGAAAGAGAGAAAGAGAAAAAGAAAGAAAGAAAGAAAGAGAGGAAGAGAGAAAGAGAGAAAGAAAGACAGAGAGAACGATAGCAAGCAAGAGAAAGGTTCAATTTGTGCAATTCCCTTGCACGATTTCATTTAATGGAGTCTTGAGAGAGACGAAAGATGAGAGCAACGAGCAAGCGAGAAAGAGAGAAACACATAAAGAGAAAAAGGGAGAGACAAAGAAGCAGAAGGACAAAGAGAAAGATAAAGAGAAAGAGAAAGAACAGAGAAAGAGAAAGAGCAAGAGAAAAAGAGCAAGACAAATAGCAAGAGAAAAAGAAAGAGGGAAAGAGAAAAAGAAAGAGCAAGAGCACGAGCAAGAACAAGAGAAAACTAAAGAGAAAGAGAAACAGAAAGGAAAAGAGAAAGAGAAGGACAGAGAGAGAGAGAGAGAGAGAGAAACAGAAACAGAGCTTGAATCCTAGTCATACTTTGCACGCTGAGTGACACTGTCATCTTCATTGTATCGGACCCAAAAGCTGCCATAGGGAAGCATACTCTCCTGGAAGGTTTCAGGTCGCCAAGCAAGGCAAGCGTGGACAGCGCACGGATTGCACTTGAACCATGAAACCAATAACAGGTAAGGGTCCTTGCACCAGTCCTTCGTAGAAGGCGTTTGATTGGAGGATAATCAAACAAGACCTTTGGGATAGCAAGAGTCCACGCAGATCAATTGCCAATAAGTTGGAACACATAAGGTTGCCACTGACGAGAGTGGTTGTTCCACGCAATAGTGGACTCCTCTTGTCCAGCAATAGTAGAGCCTTCGGGGTTCGGAATGACACGCTAGCGCTCGACATGGCTGTGCACTGACAGTTGTGAGAATTCAAGCAAGGCACACATACGCAAGACGCTGGGCTAGAACATTTGCCAGCCGGACACTTTTCAGAGACGTGTCTCCTTGAGGACATTCCAATGATCGCCGGCACGATGATCTGCTTCTTAGTGGGGATGCAGGCACGCAGGGCGAGATATCAGAACTGCAGCAGCTGAAGTCATTTGCAGTCGTGTTTTCTTGCCAGAGATCACCCAAACCCAAGTCCCACAGGGTGGGGCAGCCATAAATAGTCCTCCCGGTCGAGTGTGATGGACCTTAGAACTGTCGGTTGTGCTCAACTGCAACATGGAACTGAGCGTCGGGTGACGTGAAGACCTGTGTTAAGCTGAGGGGCTGCAGCCATCAATGCGCAAAATCCGATTGTGCGAAACACGTTGAAGTTTTTGGAGTACAGTGCCTGGAATCAACCCCAGCAGAACATGTAACTTGGCAACGCAGCTCTTCACTTTAGACGCAAGCAGCCAAGTGAAAACATGTAACTTGGCAACGCGGCTCTTCACTTTAGATGCAAGCAGCCAAGTCACATCCATCTTCGTTCCGATGAACCCGCTCCGCTCCAATCCACGGGTGAATTGCGCTTCACCAGCAAATGCCTCCACCTGATTTTCGAAGCAGGGAAACCGGTTGAACAGAAAGCAGCACTTGCAGAATGACAGCCGCGCAAGAAATGCTGTGTGTGGGGCAAAATCATTGCTCTGCTGCGGCAGCGGCAACGACTCCAACCAGGCCAAAATGGGGAGCAGCAAAGAGGGCCGCATGCTGGGTATGGTGTGCTCTATCTACCCAAGGACCACTGCGCACGACTTGAGAAGCCTAGCGTTGCAGCAGCGCAAGACACAAAGTTTCTCAATGCAGGTGGACATGGACACACGCGCAGAGTGCTCACCCAAGGCTTCTTTTGATTGCTCTTGCATCGCGGTTTCGTGCCCCGATGCACAAAAGCCCAGGCATGCACACAGAGCACATGCGTTCCCCACTGGTTCCATTCTCTGCAGGCGCACGTTGAATGTGTCGGGCCTCTAGCATCGCATGCTGTGAGTTCAAGCGCACGCAGAGACCAGCCAGCATCCAAAACTACTTGTTGTGACGAGCACGATTGTGCTGCGTCAGCTTCTTCCTTCGGCGCTTGCGCTGACCAAGACTACTCGTGCTCCTTAAGAGCGAAGCATTGGATTTGCTACGCAATCTTCTGAGGAACCCCTTGAAGCCTGCTTCCTGCGCCTTCTTCAGAGACCAGTAGCAAAGGCCATCAGGAGACTTGTAGCATTTGTAGCTGTTGCCCTTCTGCTTCCCGGACAGCCTGATTCTTGTCTCCACTTTCCACCCCTCCTGCGCTTTGGCAATGGTGTCTACGATGTAGTTCCTTAGAGGTTTTTCTCTACCTTGGGCCTGGCAACATCGTAGCTATCTACTACGTGAGATAATTAATGTAAGATGGGACAGTTCATGACTGAGATTCGCTGCTCCCCCACGCTTGCCGGCATTTCGACGGTTTTTCAACATCTCAAGCTGCTTTGCGGGATCAGGAACAGATAGCTTTGCATGCTGTAGCGCAAGCTGCTGACAACGGTCCATGGTAACCCTGAACGCAGATTTTGTAAAGTCCTGGGCCAGCACCACATCTTTGAAGGATTCCTTGGATGTGTCTTGCAAGCTGCGAACAGGAAGCGCTGTTCTCACAAAACTACATTTCTGCAACATCAAGGGAATGTGTTGGCAGGCGGCAGCCGTCTTCTTCTTCGTTTCCGGCTTCTTCGAGGCATTCAAATCGGCAGTTGTTCCTAGCAGCAACCAAGAGGAACTTGAACATGAACCGGCGCACGCACAGTGTGGGTTCACGGGAATGAGCACACAATGGACCGAGGGAATTAGGCGCCCTACAGAACCCCATAAAGGATTTATTTGGGTGAGCATCTAATCTCCCTACTCAGAATCAAACGCCAGAAGCTTGCTGTCCTGAACCCTCATCACTCCCTTTCGGCTCTTTCTCTTTCTCAGTCTCTTCCTCTGACTCGGAGTCTGGTGCATCATCTTTCTGCCAGCTGCTAAAGGAAGGTCGACTGGGCTTCACGGGGGATCGAAGGCCACGGGCGGCCAGGATCAACTTGTGGTCAGGGTGCTTGTAGTTCTTCGACTTTGCTTTCCCCTTCGCTGTTGCTTTCCCCTTCGCTTTTGCTTTCCCCTTCGCCGTTGCTTTCCCCTTCGCTTTTGCTTTTGCCAGTCCTTTGCTGGTTGCCTTTGCAGGGGAAATTGTCTCATCGCTGCTGCTGCCACAGTTGCCGGCGCTTTCTTCTGGCAGAGGGCCCTTTGTCAGCTCCTGCTTTTCGAAACAGTCAGTCATGAAGCACAAAACCGAGAAACTTTGAAGTGGCACATGCACAGCAAATCCTCTTCTACCCCCACCCACCCCCCCCCCCCCCCCCCAACTCCAACGACTGGCCTTGCTAGCTGCTTCGGCTTCGGAGTCGCTGCCTGCAGCCGAGCTTGGGGGTGTGGCCACCCTTTGGGACTGCGGATCGTCATCCTCTTCTGCCTCAGACGCACTGCCTGCAGCAGAGCCTTGGGGTGTAGGAACCTTCGAGGAAGGTGGACCCTCATTTTGCGGTGCTTCGTTTTCGGAGTCACTGCCTGCAACAGAACTTGGGGGTGTGGGAACCTGTGGTGACTGCCGCTCCTCGTGCTGGGGTGCTTCCGCTTCGACGTCACTGCCTGCAGCAGAACTAGGGGGCGTGGGAACGTTTGGGGGCTCCAGCTCCTCATCCTGTGGTGCCTCGGCTTCAGAGTCACTACCGGCAACAGAACTTGGGGGTGTGGGCACCTTTGGTGACTGCAGATCCTCATCCTCTGGGGCCTCTTCTTCGGTGTCACCACCGGCAACGGAACTTGGGGGTGTGGGAACCTTTGGCGACTGCGGATCCTCATCCTCTGGTGCCTCGGCTTCAGAAGCACTACCGGCAACGGAACTTGGGGGTGTGGGCACCTTTGGCGACTGCGGATCCTCATCCTTTGGTGCCTCGGCTTCAGAGTCACTACCGGCAACGGAACTTGGGGGCGTGGGAACCTTGGGTGATTCCAGATCCTCATCCTCTGGTGCCTCGGCTTCGGCGTCACTGCCTGCAACGGAACTTGGGGGTGTGGGCACCGTTGGTGACTGCAGATCCTCATCCTGCGGTGCCTCGGCTTCGGCGTCACTACCGGCAACGGAACTTGGGGGTGTGGGAACTGTTGGTGACTGCAGATCCTCATCCTGCGGCGCCTCGGCTTCGTTGTCACTACCGGCAACGGAACTTGGGGGTGTGGGAACCTTTGGTGATTCCGGATCCTCATCCTGCGGCGCCTCGGCTTCGTTGTCACTACCGGCAACGGAACTTGGGGGTGTGGGAACCTTTGGTGATTCCGGATCCTCATCCTGCGGTGCCTCGGCTTCAGAGTCACTACCGGCAACGGAACTTGGGGGCGTGGGAACCCTTGGTGATTCCAGATCCTCATCCTGCTGCGCCTGGGCTTCGTTGTCACTACCGGCAACAGAACTTGGGGGTGTGGGCACCTTTGGTGACTGCAGATCCTCATCCTCTGGGGCCTCTTCTTCGGTGTCACCACCGGCAACGGAACTTGGGGGTGTGGGCACCTTGGGCGACTGTGGATCCTCATCCGGCGGTGCCTCAGCTTCGGAGTCGTTGCCTGCAACGGAACTTGGGGGCGTGGGAACTTTTGGCGACTGCGGATCCTCATCCTGTGGTGCCTCGGCTTCGGCGTCACTGCCTGCAACGGAACTTGGGGGTGTGCGAGCCTTGGGGGACTGCAGGCCCTCATCCTCTGTTGCTTCAGCTTCTGAGTTGCTGCTGGCTGCAGAAGCCGGGGGAGGAACCTCATCCTCATCCTCTTCGCCCTGGTTGCCAGTGCCCTCCCCTGGGCGCTCGGCAAGAAGCTCATTGCTTGCAGTAACCCTGCTGTTCTTTTGCATGCGCCTGAGCTTTGCCTCCCTGTCCCCATTCTCGCACGCCTGCTGCCGCTTTGGTTTACCCTTCATGACCAAAGTGTCCTCCTCTACCTCAAAAAAAAATTCACACACGCACGCACAAACAACGAGACCCTTAAGCATCCTTAAGCAAACAGGATTGTGGCCTCCGGGACTTCTTCATCGTCCGTCTTTTCTTCTTCCTCTTCTCCTTCTTCTTGACTTCCTTCTTGGCCACGCTCTTCTGGCGCAGCCCCGCAAGCACTCCTTTGCAAAGGCAAAGCCGGTAAGAACCCCATAGGACCTATATACGATTACTGATGTTTCACACAGTCATAGGTTTAAGGAGACAGAGCTTGCTAAAGATGATTTGTCGGGACGCCCTAAATCTCGGAGATATCAGGGACTAGTGCTGCTGCAGAAACTGGGGGCACAGATTTTTCGGGATTCAGAAAGGGGCAGGAAGACCATGTATACAGTGTCCACTTAATTAGGACTAATCTATAGAAACCCACATGAGCTCCATGATCGCGTGCATGAACCCTACGCGACGAAACGCGTCAACACTGACATCCAGTGGCCAGCGTGCGCAAGAACGCGCGTGCCTAGGATCGCTCACGGTAGGAAGATGTAGGAAGCATGCATGCGTATGAGCGTGTACACAATTTATGCCCAAAGCACAACAAGCGAGCGCGCGGCAGAGAACGAGCATGACCGTGTGCCTATTTGGGGTTCATTAGAAAAGTAAGCTATTGGAGTAGTGCAGAAAGGCAAAGATGAGTAACTACGCAAGTATGTACAGGGGTACCTGGCTACTTTTATTGGGTCGTTTCAAGCACCAGCTGCCAGCAATGTCTCTCCCACGCACAAACCCCATCAATCGTCACGCTTCCCATTTCTTGCAGGATTGCGTCGCCAAGCAGTGCATGTTTGTTTTGTGGCTTCGACATCTTCTCTTGACATGTTATACTGCCATCCTGTCTCTCAAAAACGTCGTCGTTCGTAAGTCCCGTAACCGAACAGATTGCCCCAAGCATGCGTGTAGAAACGTCCTGCAGCGACCCACGCGATATACCCGGAAAGATGTTAGCAAGATCATACAGTTCTTCAACATCCTCGTGTGCTCATCCTGCAGATTACAGCGACTAGCTCAAGCGCAAGCTTGTCTTTTACTTTCCATAAGGTAACAGGATGCATAATCGGCCGCGTTGAAGAACTGCAGGAGCACACGTCACGTACAGTCGTAGAGCTCACACCCACGTTGGAATCATCCCAAGAACTTTGTCCCCAGATGTCCTGGATTCCTGAACCCCAGAGTACCCTTCTACAAGGGCTTTTGCAAAGGCCATCTAGATTCGGGAGTAGCCTAGGAATACAAGGGTACCCTTTTGGTTTTAAGGGGATTAGAAGGGAACCCCAACCCTAAAAGAAGGACAAAAGCCCTACGGCCTACATCCCATTTACCTCCTTAGGAATACGAATTGTTTGTTTTGTTGCCAAAGTCAACATGCAGAAACACAAACTGCGGATACTTCAAACGCCCTGCAACCTCACCCCAAAGAGGCCATCTAAAATAAGCGAAACGGCTCATTTCTAAGGTCCGTGCACAAACCAGACATACAGAAGCCTACACCTAGCAGCTGCCGGCAAGCCAAACCTCATAACCCAGAACCGATAAAAGCATCTTGAACATTTTCGACCCCAAATCACACAATTTTCCTTCAACGACCTTTGCTGCAAGCAAGAGTCATGGAAACTGGAGGCATGTCACCGGGTTCATCTTCGAGAATCACTTGTGTCTCCAGCGTTGCTGGATCCACAGGCTCGGTCCTGGTCATGGGTGCTGCAGGGTTAAAGCAGGGACCACATAGCTAGCTCGAGAGCAAGGTCAAACTGATGATCAGTCCTTGAGGGTGGAATCTTCCTCTTACGTGTAATCGCTTTGCCGCATCGAACCAAAACTTCGTGAATTCGCTTTGCCTCGAATAGCGACACATGTTTCTAGCAGCCTGTCTCAAACAATCTTACTTGACCACTGAGCAATGCTGCACCAGGCTCCTCATCAGTAACCCATGACTCAAGCGGTTCATCTCTCGGACCTCAAGCTTGCCAGATCTGTCATTTTCAGATCAAGCTACACACGTTGGCATAGACAAGCCTTATGCACTCCACAGGTACCAAGGCTCTGACTCAACTTGTGTTTATAGTTTAGCAGCGATATCATAATGCGAATCTTTCGCTCACGGCACAATCTGCCTGTGCGATTGTAGCTCTCCAAAGCCTCATAAAGCCAGCGATTCGGCTTCGCCCGCACATCACCACCCGAGCACAACGTCCCACGCTTCTTTAAATCTGCCACATCGGGCAAATGATTCTCCAACGCAATCAGCAGCTTCCTCAGCTAGTTGTGGACGTAAACTTTAGTGTGACCGGGCTGCAAGCACACCTAGCTAACCCATTTGAGCTGAGATGCCTGGCATTCTTGCCGAGCTTTTTGCGATGATAGATGTAGTCACGCTCAGTGCATATCGGCGCCGACATTGCTCTCAACGAGCAAGCAGAGCTTACTTGTAAACACAGACACGTTGCCAGAACACTTTTGCCACTATACAGCATTCAGTCACGCCCTATAGCTCTAGCACACATCGATCTACATCGTTGCCTGAATAACACACTGCTTGCCCAAATGCCCTGGCGGAGGCCGAGCAGATCAGCAACGACATCGCTATCATCATCCTGGGTTTAGTGGTCCTAGTCGTAGAACTGGTCCGGCCTAAGTACCATCAGTTAAGAGGCACTATCCCTCAAATGCCCTTTATTAACATGTACTTTACACCAGGCTGAGCAATGTGTCAGCTATTAAAGGCCACTTTGTGGCACCAATCCGACAAAAAAAGTGGGATGATGAACAAAGTTGTTTACAGACACTTTGTGTAGCTAAAGCTACGTAAACCGAATCTGCGCGATTGCCACACTATTAAGAAGCAGTCGGGGGGTCCAGGTAGGGTTTAGGGTTTAGGGTTTAGGGTTTAGGGTTTAGGGTTTAGGGTTGGAGGGTTTACAGGGCATACCTTGGGGACAAAATGGACCCTCAAATTGGGGTTTAGGGTTTAAGGTTCAGGGGTCATGTCATATACCCTATACTACGACAGCCTGAGGCTTGGCAGGGCTTAGGTTTGGGGACGTTTCGGGTTTAGGGGTGTTTTCGGGGCTTAGTGTTGTGCTTCTGATTTGGGCTGTTTCGGGCTTCGGGTTGTTTAGGGGCCTCCGACAGGTTGATGGGGCTTTGGCTTAGCACCATTGATCCCGAATGGGCCCAAATGGTCAACTGCTCGTAGGTTTAGATTGTGTGGCCCAACTTCGTGGCCAAGGACCACATTTCCTTTCCAAGAGCCAAACTTCGCAGCCAAGGGTCACAAAGGGTCAAGGCTTCGCAGCCCAGGGGTCCAAATTTCGGGGGCAAGGTGACAAATTGGAGTGGCCAAGGGTCCAAAACCTCGCGGCCAAGTAAACCCTAAACCCTAAACCCTAAACCCTAAACCCTAAACCCTAAACCCTCAAGGGTCCAAAAACTCACTGCCAAGGGCCAAGGGTCCGAAATTTCGCGGGCAAGGGCCAAGGGCCCAAATTTCGTGGGTCCGAAATTCTCGCGGGCAAGGGTGCAAAATTTCGCGGCCAAGGGTGGTGCATGGTACTTCTTAACCAATTGTAACTGTATTTGTAATCAGATTAGGGCACTTATGGGGATTGTAAGTAGGTTATAAGTACAGTTATAGTTGGTTAATAAGTACCCTGCACCTTTTTGCATCCAGGTCTCACGCCGGGCATCACCAGATTTACTGAAGAGGCAGTACCCTGAACCTTCAAACCCTAAACCCTAAATTTTAAACCCTAAACCCTAAACCCGACACTCAACAGCCCCGAAACCCTGCAGGGCGGGGCTCTCAGGGTGCTAAAGGGCGCCTTAGATCTCCATCTCCCGATAGGGTTCAGGGTTCAAGGGCTTCGTTTTCACCCTGCGCAGGGTGTTCTGAAGGTTTAGGGCTTAGGGCTTAGGGTTTAGGGTATAGTGTATAGGGTTCAGGGGTGTTTAGGGTATATGGAGCTTAGGGCTTAGGGCTTAGGGTATAGGGCTTAGGGTTTAGGGCTCAAGGTTTAGGGTTTAGGGTATGGACCGCAAAGGCATCCCGGAAGACCCCAAGAAGCTCCGGGCACCGCACTGAGGGAGAAGCCTAGAGCAACCTCGGCACAAGACTCATGTAAACCTTGAACCCTGAACCCTCAACCCTCAACCCTAAACCCTGAACCCTAAACCCTAAAGCCCCCTACTATTGTAACCCTAAACCCTGAACCCTAAACCCTTGCACCCTAAACCCTAAACTCGCGTCTTCGGGTCCAAAGTTACCCGGCATAGTTCTTCAACTCACCCTATAAAGTGTGGATTCGAGAGTGGAATGAATAAATGAGCAACGCCCCACAACCCAAAGATTTGGGGAGTTTAGGGTTTGGGGTTAAGTTTACGGTTTCGGGTTACAAGAACCCGAAGCCCCGCAACAGCACTGACTGGACCCCCACGGACCCTCAGCATTTCCATGAGGGTAGTTCTCTAAATTCGGGTCCCTTTTTGGGATCGCCCTAGACCCTAAACCCTAAATAAACCCTAAACCCCAAACCCCAAACCCCAAACCCCAAACCCTAAACCCTAAACCCTAAACCCTAAACCCTAAACCCTAAACCCTAACCCCCCCCTAGTATTTAGAGAGCTGCCCATGCAAAACAACCGACCCGCTAGTCAGAAATGCCATGCTGAGGGCCCGTGCCGGCATGCAACCTCAGTTCGACAAGGGTTTAGGGTTTAGGGTTTAGGGTTTGGGGTTTAGGGTTTAGGGTTTAGGGTTTGGGGTTTAGGGTTTAGGGTTTGGGGTTTGGGGTTTAGGGTTTAGGTTTAGGGTTTGGGGTTTAGGGTTTAGGGTTTTGGGTTTAAGGTTTAGGGGCAACACAAGCATGCCGGGCCTGATGGGCTCTCTTATGGATTTTAATAATAACAATGGTAAGAATACTATAACATAATGTAATATATTTCATATAATATCTAATAATGATCACTACTAAGCAAAATGAAAAGAAAAATAAACAATAAGTCACAACTCATACAATACAATCTCATAATAAATACATATAAATACTACTAAGCAGAAATGAGGACAACACATTAACAATAAATCTAAAGAGTCGGCTTGCAACGCGGGCTTCTGGCGGGTAATGTCAGGGGTTACATTAAAGCCCAACAAGGTCGTTTTGTCCAAAGACTCTATAGACTCTAGACGGGCCAAGCCGCTGAGGGTGTTTCGTGGCGAGAAAGCCTCCTTGACGCCGGTAACGCCCTGGTCAGGCGATGTCTTCTCGTGCAGACACCACTGACGAAAACCCTGCATGATGTCTTTTCTACCCTAAATCCCTTTTTGCCACTGGACTGAAGGCAAGCCAGATTCCCCTTCTGCATCCGGGCTTGGGAAGTCGGCCGGGGAAAGTCGTACTTCTCCCAAGACGTTTCCCCTGAACCCTAAACCCCAATCCCTAGCCCTAAACCCTAAGCCCTAAGCCCTAAACCCTCCCCAAACAAACAGGCGATGCCACACAATAGTTCACAATAGAGATGGCGTTGAGGGCCCAGCTCCAAGCCCCGCCTCGAAGAGAAAGGAGAAAAACACACCGCTGATCAGGGAGACCTTGGCCAGTTGTGCATGGTGAGCACTTATAGGGTTTAGGGTTTAGGGTTTGGGGTTGGGGTTTGGGGTTTGGGGTTTGGGGTCTGGGGTCTGGGGTCTGGGGTCTGGGGTTTGGGGTTTGGGGTTTGGGGTTCAGAGTAGTCTCCAAAACGCTCCCTAAGCTTCCCCAAGGTTCCCTAGGTACCTACCCTTCATGAACTCCCCTCCCTTATTAAGAACCCTATAAGCTCTGGGCGAAGGCGCGCGTGCACTGAAAAGTATACGTAGAGAGCCTTAAGTTTATAGGCGTTTCCCAAGCCTTAAACTCCTGAACCCCCTTCAGTGAGTCTCCGAACTCGGGCGCCGGCGCTTCCCTGAAAAACAACCAAGACCTGACCGTCCTTGGCGTGCTGGCGTTGCGAAGGTCAGCGGTTGATGTGAATTGTGGGCCCATTTGACGAGGATGAGGTACAAACATCCAGCCCCCCCCCCCCCCCCCCGGAACAAAAAAAAACAAAAAAGAAAACTAAGCGGGCTCAGGTTGTATCGGCCCACAAGACAGACCAGCACGCCAAGTGCATCGTTTCAGGCTCTGACGAGAAGTGTGGCATTGTCCCCCAGGGCCTTCACGCTCAGCAGGATCTTTGCCGCCCTGGGCTGTTTAGGGTCGGGTTTAGGGTTTAGGGTTTTGTGCTTCGAGTTTTGGGATCCCTAAATATTGAACCCCTACAAACCCTCCAATTCGCGATCAACTTTACAGTCGCAAGCCCCACTCTGAGACCCGCACTCCACAGCAATGAAGACCTCGAGGCTTGGGGTGGAATAGGCTAAACCCTCGTTAGGGTTTAGGGCTTGGGGCCCAAATAGAGCTGGTATTTGTCAAAATTTAAACGAAGAACATCGTATGTAGTAAATCACAAACGGTAAGCAGCAGTCGCCAATAGAAGAAGGTACTGGCAAATCGCGAAATGAATGGCAAGAAGCCGTCGTAGTCACCAGATGAACAATAGTCCTGCGTAGGGAGTGGTCATAGTCATCGTAAGAGTCACATGCGGCGACATAGTTGGTAGTAGTTTGTGGTTTCATACCTGGAGCTGGGGCCACGCCGCACTTTTGCGGCCCAGTGGCAGCTTACCCGCCCCGCTTAAACCCCAAAGCCCCCCCCCCTCCCTAAACCAAGGCTTGAGGACCCGGCAAGGACCAAAGCAATCTCGAAGCCCCTCCCCAGCCACGTTCGCCGCCTGCAGTGTCACTTTGCGCAAGACTTCCTGGCACCTCATACTGACGCAGACTACTCCCACAGGGTGTTGCGACCTCTCCGTGAGATTGGGCCCTTACAAGTTTCAGCAAGACTTTCTTCCAAGCTACACCAGGGTACACAACATTGAACAGCACAATTTCTTGGCCCAATTCGCGAATCAAATCCACAAATTGGTCCATAAATTGAAGCTGCCAAGGGCAACTTCGACGGGGCGAGCGCAAGACGATCAATCTCTTGGGGGCCAAAGGACGAAATAAACCGTAAGCCCTAAGCCCTATAAACCCTGAACCCGAAGCCCTTTTACGGGGGCGCTGGCGTTGAACCCGCAGGGTCCAGGCTCTGTGCCAGCTACCGCCAGTTCCGACGCTAATGCCCTGAAAGCTACAAGAGCTTAAGACCCATCCGAGGGTTTCCCCAAACTAGGAGTTTAGGGTTTTATACCCTAAACCTTAACCCCTATAAACCCTAAACCCTAAAAGGGTGCCACTGGGCTACCAAGACAAAGCATGGCAGAGGTGCCAGGTGTGTAGGCTGCGCCAGAAGGAGTCCTCCACTGCATCACCTTCAGCACCGGAGCAGATAGGGCTTAGGGCTTAGGGCTTAGGGTTTAGGGTTTAGGGTTTAGGCTTTAGGGTTTCGGGTGTAGGGGTTTGCCTCTGACACCCCACAGGGGCTCAGCCATCCAGGGTGTTTTCTGAGGGGCGTCGGGCATGCAACGTCACACAGTCCTAGCTGCCAGCGTCGACCGCTCAAGCTCACAGGGTTTAGGGTTTAGGGTTTAGGGCCGTTTAGGGTTTCGAGGAGGCGTTCCAGGCGTTCCAGTGCCCTAGAATTTCAAGCTGTTCAAGCGCAAAAGCCCAGGAACGACAGGACATCTCGACATGAGCATCTACATTGCAAACCTCCCTCACAAACACCCCCCCCTCATTCCCCCCTGCCCAGACCCAATTTAAGCCCTAAACCCCAAACCCTAAACCCTAAACCGACTGGCTTGGTGCCAAGCCAGTCTCCGCAATTGGGGTGTCCCCCGACTGTGACCTGAGACTGGAGTGTTGAGAAGCATCGCCCTCAGCATAGGCTCCTTGAGCTCTTAGGGTTTAGGGTTTAGGGCTCAAACCGGGTTCCATGGATCAGTGGAGAAAAAGGCTTCTGTCCAACAGCCTTGGCTCTGCAACCTGCCACACACGCCAGCCAGCACCCTCACATGCCCAAAAAGCCCTCTTTACCCCCTTGAATATAAGGAAGACACCTTAAATTATATAGGGATCCTTAATGTGAGTTAACGTATATTGAAGGGGTACTGGGCTCCAGGTGCTTTCGCCCAACCTTTCATCAATCGCAAAATGCAGAATCCAAAGTGCTCTGAATTTGAAGCACGTCAGTGCCACATGCAGCCAGCTGGATGGGACACCACATTGGCCAGCCGCGTGTTGCAGCGGCCCCATACTGACTTCAACCAATTTGCAGGCTGTACACAATACTGGTATTTAATCGTCGGAAGAGGAGTCCTGCGCCTCCCTAGGCTATCTCGTTCATGAGCCTCTCACTATGACTGTAATTGTGCAAGACTTGCGTCTCTACAGGCGCATGGCACACACTTGTTGCGTGCCGGAGCGCCCGTGTCCAAACTGAATTCCTTGGCTGACTTCTGAACCCCTCCTACAAGCTTAACTTGTGGGCTCCTTATTGTAGTTTCCAATAAAAACCAAAACGTTAAAGTCCTAAGAAGAAAGCCAGAAGAAAGCCAAGATACAGTGTCTACTTCGCGATCATAGTTCTTCGGGTGCGTCGCTTGGACCCGAGGCGAGGAGGTTCATCTCAAAGCACTCGAGCCCATTCTCCTTGGTAGCGCAGCAACCACCTTATGATGAGGGCGCCCTTTTTTTGAGGTTTTTGAGGTTGGTTACGTTACTGTTTTTATAAGGGAACCTTCCACAAAAGGAATGGAGAAAAGGGTACCACTGGGCTACCAAGTCTCCGTACATCTCCGACCTCATCGCCAGCGCGCTGCATTGCCATGCGCCTGGCCCGTTCTAGAGCTAGGGCTCCTGTGCGCATGGCTGACTTGATTGCCTTGGTAGGCCAGTAACCACCTAAACCCTAAACCCTAAACCCTAAACCCTAAACCCTAAACCCTAAACCCTAAACCCTAAACCTTATAATAAGGGCACCCTTTTTGGGGGCTGGTTACTTTATAAGGGAACCTTGAACCAGAGGTTAACGGGAAAAGGGTACCACTGGGCTACCAAGTTGCCAAGGCTTTTGCATCACACCGGAGGAGGGTCACCTCGTCATCCTCCCCAAGGGCATCGCCCAAGATCTCATGGGCGGAAAGTTCACGGTCACGGCAGATAAGTTGCTGCTCTCCCACTGGAATTCCAGCAGACTTGGCAATCACCTTCTGGGCCGCGGCAACCGGTGCCGCCATGTCCACCGATACGGTGCACAAACAACCACCAAGGCCCAGGATGCGCAAGGAACCTTCCATGGGTGCGGGTCGTGCTGCGGCTTTGCGCGCCTTCTGGCGTCGAGCCTTGCCCACCGCTGATGACATGGCGAGGGGACGAAGATGGGACCTCTCAGCTGTATTGAGACCCTGGGCAAAAGGAAAGCAATGAAGAAGCACGCATGTACAATCTCGAGTGCGTCTGGCCGTTGGTCTTGCTACCATTTTCGGGGGCACCATGAAGACCTTTAGCATCTGCTGCCGGATGGGATGAATTTCGAATCAAAGCTCCTCTAAAAGTTAGAAATTCCATCTTCATTGGCCCTTCTTCATCTGTCGTCTACTCTTCAGAAGGGGCAACACAAGGACTCTTACTCCGAAGAACCCGCCACCTTGCGGAACAACTTCAAAGCATGCTGCCACCTCCCACCGCACTGCTCTTGGACCTCCTACAGGCCCCTATTCACACCCTACAAAATCCCCACAGGGTTCAGGGTGTATAGGGTTTTATAGGGTTTAATAGTGTTTATGGGGTTTACAAGGTAGAAGTCATGAGTTCAGAGTTTAAGGACCCTAAACCCGAAACTCTAAATCCTACACCCTTTTTGCATCCGGGCTATGATGTCCTGGCCAGAAAGTCTTAGCAACAGTCGCGGATCCTAGCACTCGTGGCTACGACCGCAAGAAAACCTACACCCTAAACCCTGAACCCGAACGTAGGCCCTGGGCGACGGCACGCGCCATGCCGTGAGCGCTGCCACATCGAAGCTCTTTGGTTGGACTGCGGGCCTGTCTAGGCTTTAGGGTTTAGGGTTTAGGGCCTAGGGTTTAGGGCTCAGGGCTTAGGGCTTAGGGCTCAGGGCTTAGGGTTTCGGGCTATAGGGGCCCTTTTCCCCCCAACCAGCCATGACTTGCCTTGCTGAGAGGGCCCAAAGGTTCATGTACGTGAAGGGCTGGCTATGGGAACTCGAACACGGGGGATGGCAAGGCAAGTTCCGCATGTCTGATCAACCGGGGCCGAGCACCGGTTTAGGGATTGGGGTTGGGATGTTCCCCCTTCTACTAGCAGCTCCTTAATAGGGATTATAGTAGGGGGTACTCTAATCCTTACTAATGGGCCGTTAGTATAGGGGGGGAACATCCCAAGATTCGGGTCTTCAGCTTATACCTTGAAAGGTGCCTGTCGCCCACCATCTCTGGCGCCGCAATCGGCAGCGCGTACCTCGGCATCGGGGGTCGAACAGGAAATCACCACAACGGTCAAGGATTTAGATCAACCACTTACATCGAGCCCCCACTTGTACAGCAACCCCTTGAAACAACACCAACACGAACGACGCAAAACTGTCTTTTTCAAGCCTCCACGATACCCAAGAGTAACCAAGGAATACGAAGGCTACCCTTTTTGGTGTAAAGGGGCGCACGTAATGTAGGAACCTAAACCCTCAACTACCATGTGCTTAGGAACTCTCATCTCAGCGACTCCGGATGAGATCAATTGAATGCTACTGCTGCTTTAGGGCTTAGGGTTTAGGAAATAGCAATACACACAATCATCATCACAAGCGCCGCCCCAGAAACTCTGCTAGGCTTTTGACCCTCAGCTGAGCCAGTGGCGAGCCAAAAACTCGGGTGCACTCGACCTAGGACGATAGTCTCCGATCGTGCTTGTCCATGGCACGAGCCCTAAACTCTAAACCCTAAACCCTAAACCCTAAACCCTAAACTCTAAACCATCCCTGATCTCCGACGTGCCGTGTGGAAGGGAGGTTTCGGGTGCATCTGCAGTCCAAGCTCGCTGTTGAAGCAATTAGGGTTTAGGGTTTAGGGTTTAGGGTTTATATTGTTTTGTTTTATCTTGAACCATATTGCAATGCAATACCTCTCTTAGCAAAAACGCCCTTTCATGACTTGGTAGCTCAGCAACCATAGTGTTAGAAGGAAACCTTTTTTGGGGGTTCGTTACTTTATAAGGGAACCAACCCTAATCCCTAATCCCTAAACCCTAAACCCCAAAACCCAGAACCTAGAAAGAGGCACCACCGGGCTACCAAGATGACGATGAGAGGTTGTGGCTGTGAAGTTCGGTTCTTTGCGGGGAGTTGGAAGTTGGCAAGGCTTTTTTTTCTCAAATCGGACGCGGTTTAGGGTTTAGGGTTTGGGCTGAGGGGACCTGGCATACAAAAGACCTTGGGAGTTTTTGGGGACTGGCACGGATCGTTCTCGACCAAAATCATCTGATCATCCAAAATTGCCCACGGTATGCGGGCCGATCAAGAACAGATCATGACGTCTGACATCAGCACACCATACTGAAGACACGGCGTATGATATGCCCACGTAGCAATGGTAAGCCTGCATTGCCGATAGGATCCCCCCGACTCACGCCATGCATGTTACAACTGCAACAACACCGAAGTTCATGAAACCTGACCCTAAGCACTTGTGAACCCATACTCGGACAAGCTTTCCCCTAAACCCTATAACCCTAAACCCTAAACCCTAAACCCTAAACCCTAAACCCTAAACCCTAAACCCTAAACCTGATAGACCATCCCCACCCTTTAGCCATTTGGGTTGAGGGGCTCAGGGAGAAGGGTTCATCGAGGGGCTTAGGGCTTCGGGTTTAGGGTTACCGGGCTTGGGCAAAGCCCACACGGCTAACCTGGCTGCCCAATGTCCTTGTTCTAACCCTCAGTATGGGCCTGTATAGTTGGGCATGATGTACTCCTAAACGCTTTTGAACCCTAAACCCCAAACTAAAAACCCAAGGGCGGGCTCCAGGCCGGAGGGGTCCGTTCGAACATCCGGGTCGGCAATGTGTATCGCCTCGGAGAGGCCAAACTCAAGGATTTTGGGGGCTTTGGTTTAGGGTTTAGGGTTTTGGGTTTAGGGCTTACAGGCTTTGAGGGCTCCCCAGCGTTTAGGGCAAGAGGGCACCCGTTCAAAGCCCATGAATTCTGAAAAGATCTCTACTGAAATCCCTGTGATGAAAGTCGGGAAGCCGGAGAATTTACAGGTATTGCGTGCCCTAGGCAAAGAGGGTTTGGGCCACAATGGTTGCAACAGCCACAGGGCCCATCCTGCCGTGTACGTTTACATCTTCTGGGTTTAGGGTTTTTTAGGGTTTAGGGTTTAGTAGGATTTAGGGTTTAGGATTTAGGGTTTAGGATTTAGGGTTTAGGATTTAGGGTGACCATATTCCACGAATGTCCCAGTCTTCGGGAGAACTACAGAGCAACGTATGTGGCTTGTCTGGCTGGTTCTTAGCAGCCCATGATGGAATTACGGCCCCACATCTCCCCTTTGAGGGACTAAAAAGGGTACCTCATTCCCTCAAACCCTACGAAGTGCCAGCCAGGACAGAAGAAGGGGATGGCCTGATGCGAGATGTGAAACCCAACCACCACTTCTAAACCCTAAACCCTAAACCCTAAACCCTAAACCCTAAACCCTAAACCCTAAACCCTAAACCCTAAACCCTAAACCCTAAACCCTAAACCCTAAACCCTAAACCCTAAACCCTAAACCGGACGGAGGCCAGAGGGGCACGTTCCGAAGATTGACCGGATGCGAAACCCTAAACCCCAAACCCTATAAACGCTAAACCCAAAACCCAAAACCGGGTAAACCCTAACCCCTGCAAACAACAAACCCTGTAAACCCTCAGCCTTATAAATCCTAAACCCTATAACCCCAAACCCTAGAAACCCGAATTACTATAAACCCTAAGCCCTATAAACCCCAAAACCTAGACACCCTCAACACTATAAAACCTAAGCCCTAGAAACCCCCCAACCCTGGAAACCCTAGATGCTATAACTACACCCTAAACCCAAAAAAACTGAACCCGAAACCCTGTCCCTAAACACGGTAAACCCTAAACCATGAAAACCCTAAACACTACAACCCTAAACAATAAAAGCCCTGAACCCTAAACCCCGTAAATCCTAAACCTTATAAACCCTAAACACCCTGAACACTATAAACCCTGAACCCTACATACCCTGAACCCTAACCCCTGTAAACAATAAGCACTATAAACCCTCAAAACGATGAACCCTAAGCAAGGCACCGCGGGCGGATTTGATGGTTGAGAAAAAAGGGTGTTTTTTCCAAAGGCCTTTTGCGCTTCCATGTGCCCTGGGACAGTGAATAGACCCCTAAAGAAGACCCCAAATACCCCCCCCCCCCCCCTGTGGTGTGGTTGGGGGGATGGGGTGAGGGTTTAGGGTTTGAGGGTTTTGTTTTGGGTAGAGGGTTCCCTAAACCCTAAACCCCCCTAAACCCTAAACCCGAAACCCTAAACCCAAAACCCTAAACCTTAAACCCTAAACCCTCATCCCTAAACCCCATGAGGTGGGCGGGGGGGGGGAACCAACCCTGACCCCTGCTGCGTCCAAGGCGATCGATGGCGGCGCAAGGCATCGCTGGCCTGGGACGTTTGAGTGTTTAGGGTTTAGGGTTCGGGGTTCAGGGTTTAGGGCATTGTTTATGGCTTTTCTTTTCTGTGATGCTTGCCACACAACCGTCTCTCCCTCCTCCCTCTGTGTCTTTCTTAGGGCCCGCAGCGTTGCACTCCGCTCTCTCATTCCTTGTTTCTTTTTTCTTGCTTTCGCTCTTTCTTTGTGGGTCATCAGGCCCGAAAGGTTTGGCGCACTTGGCCCGCCCCGACTGTCGGTTGTCGGCTCCCGGGGTTACTGAGTCCGCATAAAGGGTTGAAGTCTTGGTGGCCCCGTAACCATTATCAGAAGGGCAGCCTTTTCTGGGTTGGGTACTTTAAGAAGAAACCTTGAACCCACGAAAAGGGAAAAGGGTACCACTGGGCGACCAGAAGTGAATGCAAGAAGCTTGTGTACCTGCAAGTTAGCGAGGGTTTAGGGTTTAGGGTTTAGGATGAACCGAGACCCTGAACTCCAAGCCCCAAATCCCAAATCACTGAACCCCGAACCATTCAATCCCCAAACCGCGACACCCCTCCGATCCTTCCAAGCCGCCATAATGAACCAACCCTAAACCCTAAACCCTAAACCCTAGACCCTATACCCTATACCCTAAACCCAACACCGACCCTGCTCTGCTTATCACGCCACGAAGGTGTCATGCTAGCATGCTGAGGCCGATGCATGCACCGAGTTAAAGGACGTGCTCGGCGCCGACCAGATGGACCTGCCGAAAGGACCATGCAGGGGTTTCTGGGGGGGGGGGGGGGGGTTGTAGAAGTAGACATGCCCAAAAACCCTAAACCCTAAACCCTTTTGCAAACCCTAAAACCTAAACCCTTTTTTGACTCCAGGCTCAGCCGGATCCGAACTAACCCTAAACCTAAAACGTTACCGAGGGTTCAGGGAACTCTTCATGCTGAATGGCCCGAGATTTGGGGGCATCCTAGGGTTCTCAAAGCTACGAGTTCGTTTGGGGGTCGCCCATACCCTACGTGCGAACGAATCAGGGGGAGGATGACTTCCTTTATGGATCCAGGGCTTCTGACTCTGGACTCCGCTTGTTTAGGGTTTGGGTTTAGAGCTTAAGGTTTGAGGGTATCCTGCCTTGGTGGCAGAACGACCCATCAAATGGCTTGGCACGAGATTTTCGGGGTGGGGGGAGAGATAAGATTCTGTGAGCTTCTTTGCAGTCGGGAAAATTCCTTGGGGCCAGGACATCGCACGAGATCTCAAATCATGCTGTGCGTTGCACGAGGGAAGCTTGCAGCCTTCCAGCTCTTTTTTGCAAACGCCTGTCAGTGCAATGGTAGACAGCCTCCAGCGCATCGGATAGACAAGATTTCTTTGCCAAAGCCTACCGTTGCTTCTCTATCACGTGTTCGTCCTAGGTCCTCCTAGGAAGCGATGGTTTGGGGGGAACGAAACCTTCGGGGATGAGCCAGGGGTGGTGATGTTCTTCAACGGTGACGGGCGCTCAACAGCTGAAAAAAAACACCCATGCTCGACTTCAACTTCATGTTAAACGCCACGTAGCAACAAGGCGCTACGAGTCTTCTGGCCCTAAACCCTAGACCCTAAACCCTAAACCCTAAACCCTAACTACGCCTGGGTGCCTGGGCCGCCATGTCTAAGCCTGCGGCGAATCTGAAGCGCAAGTCTTCAATCTCACTAGAAGTGCTCGAGGCTGGCTGGCTTTCATGTCGGCCTCTGAAGCAGTTCTTCTGCTTCGGATTAAGACATGAATGCTGCGGGTGAATCCTGCAAAGTATCGAAGCTAATTTCGGGTGCAGATCTGCCCACTACACTGATTCCCTATCTGAAGATATCGTACCCTAAACCCTAAACCCTAAACCCTAAACCCTAAACCCTAAACCCTAAACCCTAAACCCTAAACCCTAAACCCTATACATTCTACCGTACTTCCCTGGTGCGCTAAGCAACTTAAATCGCCCGAACCATGCCATGGACCCTCCGGCTCAGCTCCCTACAAATCACGTCGGCGAGCGCCCTTTTCAGAAAGGCGGAAGGCCCCAAAGAGCCCAAATTCGGGTTTAGGGTTTAGGGTTTAGGGTTTAGGGTTTAGGGTTTAGGGTTTAGGGTTTAGGGTTTAGGGTTTAGGGTTTAGGGTTTAGGGTTTAGGGTTTAGGGTTTAGGGTTTAGGGTTTAGGGTTTAGGGTTTAAAGAGCTCAATACCCCTTAGATAAGGAATGTACCTTAAACCACATTGAGGATCCTTGTATATCTAAGGTATGTTCTTATTTAATGGGCATAGAGGGCCCTTTGGGGCCAGAGAAGGTCGTCGGAGAAACTTCGGGCCACTCGGAGCTAACTCGAATCGTAAGCCTTAGCAGTGGGTCTTTGCAAACTCCATGATGGACTTCTTGGCCATGGTCCATCTTGGTGGATCCTTCTGTTTGCCTGAGCGGCTCGCGCTGCTTTAGGGTTTAGGGTTTAGGGTAGGGTTTAGGGTGCTGGAACAATTCTCGTGCCACAAGGGAGATATGCCTGAACCCGAACAACGAACGAGCCAAACGCTGAAGGTCGAAACTCTTTAGCCAGGGCTCCCCCTGCGACTGGTAGCTGTATAAATATTGCAGTGTGCTGCCGTGCGGCTCACTTTGCATCGGCCAAGGCTGATGATCTTGTCCGCATCGTACCTTGGTTTGGGAAAATCGGGCTCCTGCCTCCGAATGCTTAATCCATTGACGCCCTTTCCACAACCTTGGAAAAGAATGTCAACACTACATACACACAAGCATTTTGTAACACCGCGGGTCTTAGGATCCGTCTAAGGGTCCCACTTTTGCAGCACACACGGAAGTGTCATGGAGCAGTTCCGGCTTCGTTTCAATGGCAGTGCGTCCGAACCCTACGTGACAAAGTGCTCCGGATTTCTCGGAGGCATTTCATGACCCAGTCAACGCCCCTTACACAAGCCCACTGCCCCCCTGAAGGGACTTTCTTGAGCAAAGGCCCCTAAACCCTAATCCTAAACCCTAAACCCTAACCCTTTTTTAAGCCTGAACTGAACCCTAAACCCTAAACCCTAAACCCTAAACCCTAAACCCTAAACCCTAAACCCTAAACCCTAAACCCTAAACCCTAAACCCTAAACCACACCGGTCCAGCATCCCCAGCTCCATTCCCTCGGCAAGGTTCGCCCCAGGCCCAGGGACCTTGGACTCGATCCCCGAGTTAAACCTGAGTCAACAGAGGGTGGGTTTAGGGTTTAGGGTTTAGGGTTTAGGGTTTAGGGTTTAGGGTTTAGGGTTTAGGGTTTAGGGTTTAGGGTTTAGGGTTTAGGGTCATCATGATGGCAAGAATTATCGTCACTGCCACCACATATTGCTACGGTTCTTTGTTGAGGATTTCAAGTAGGGAAAAGGCAATGACAAGATCTCACTCCACAAGCGTTCTTCTCACGTGCAGTGATGCAACAAGGAACTACAAGTGGAACCTGCGACTCCAAAGCGAAACTCAAAGAAGGAACTTTGATGTGCAAAGACCATGAGCATTACACCCTCACCTTGCGATGTTCCCCCTGAAACTAACAGTCCTTAATAGGGATCATAACTGGGGGGTACTATGATCCCTCTTCAGGGCTGTTCGCATAAGCGGGAACATCCCAACCCTAAACCCTCAACCCTCTGTTAGCATAAGGGGGAACATCCCAACCTTCACCTTTGAAACCCGAAAACCTAAACCCTAGAGCGCATTCCGATTCTGTCATCCAGGAACAGCGCCCCCTCCTTCTGGAACCGCGGCCGTCGCCCCATCAGCACCCGGCCTTGACACGGCTTAGGGTTTAGGGTACGTAGATACGTTCAGAAGGTTTCTGAGCTCACTTTGAACTCTAAACCCTGACCCCACACAGGCAGTTTCGACAGGCCCTGACCTGCAAACACAGGATTTAGGGGCTCGAAGCCGACGCCCCCTCAACCATCCGGTTCAGGGTTTTGGGTTCATGGCCTTAAGCCTGTTGTGGCCCGTCTACAGGAGCCTTTGCAGATTTGAGGTTGTCAGATTTCCACACCTGAGCTATTTGGGCTAAACCAATACTGCAACGTCTCTAAGAGGCCTGCTGGTTCACGATCTTCCAACGGCAAGGGTACGCATCCACGTAGTAAAGCCAGAAACCGAGCCACCATCCGAAGCCACCAAGGGTTTAGGGTTTAGGGTGTAGGGTTTTAGGGTTTAGGGTTTAGGGTTTAGGGTTTAGGGTTCAACAGTTTGTCATCACCCCTCCGGCAGACTTTGCAGACCCGAGAGTCAGTTGACAGGCTTGACGATCTCTTCGGTCCGCGGTGTCGTGGTGTAGGTTCCTTTCGGTTTAGGGTTTAGGGTTTAGGGTTTAGGGTTTAGGGTTTAGGGTTTAGGGTTTAGGGTTTAGGGTTTAGGGTTTAGGGTTTAGGGTTTAGGGTTTAGGGTTTAGGGTTTAGGGTTTAGGGTTTAGGGTTTAGGGTTTAGGATTTAGGGCTTAGGGCTTGAGGTTTAGGATTTGGGGTTTAGGCTTACAGCTAAGCTGTGCAGAGAGTCATGAAAGCGACCCTGGGGCCGAAGGCAACCCTGCAACATCACAAGCCATCACGAAGCCAACAACTCAGACAGAGTTTCGGGTTTTGGATTTGAGGTTTAGAGTTTGGGGTTACCCTAAACCCTAAACCCTAAACCCTAAACCCTAAACTAGGGTTCCAAAAGAACCCACCCATTGTTTCTCAAGGACTGTGCAGCCAGAGCCTGGAACTCATGGCCCGTGCAACCAATTTCTGGGGGACCACATGAACCCTAAAAATTGGGTTTAGGGTTTAGGGTTTAGGGTTTAGGGCCTACAGTACCATCATTCTGCCTCAGAAAGACGAGCCCGGAACCCTAAACCCTAAACAGTTGGTCCCCAAGGCTTCCAAATCCCTCAAGTCCGCTCCCAAACCCCGCCTACCCCCAAAACCCCCACCGGCCCTAAACCCTAAACCCTGAACCCTAAGCCCGGAACCCTAAACCCTAAACCCTAAACCCTAAAAAGAAAGGACCCTGAGTTGCCCACCCCCCTTTTTTCAGGCAGGCCTATGAGCTGCAACCTCCTAAAACCACGGTTTAGGGTTTAGGGTTTAGGGTTTAGGGTTTAGGGTTTAGGCCTAATAATAGGAGGTAGGAGTAGGGGGACCCTTGGGGGTATAGACCCTCGTCCCCTTTGAAGGGTCTCCCTAAACCCATCTAGGAAATAACCCCTCAACCTTAATGATACTTAGTTGCTGAGTTCGTCATAAGCCCCCCAAAAGTGTACACTTGCAGTTGGGGATTATCGTCTCCCAAAAGATGTGAAGTGATCTCACTCAGCTACTAAGATAACCCTGAACCCTAAACCCTAAAGCCCTTAACCCTAAACCCTAAACCCCAAAGCCCTTAACCCTGCAAGTGCAGCTGGATCTGTCAGTGGGTGGTTTGGGGGTTTGCGGCCCTAAACCCTAAACCCTAAACCCGCGCTCGGCATTCCTGCTACTTCGCGGAAACGTCGACCTTCTCTCTGCGCATCTGCAACCCTAAGCCCTTTTTGTCAACCAACCGCTTCTCCCCCCATATCACGCGAGCACTAGACCCTAAACCCTTCTGTTTGTTATCCTTTCTTGGCATACTGGAACTTGCTCACGGAGTGGGCCGGAGAACCTGAAGTAGAGCCTGTTAATCCTTTACCAAGCTCTTGCTTACACCCACCAGAACACGATCCTCAAAACAAAGATGCTGTCTAGGCTTTAAGCCCCAAACCAAACTCCTGAACCCGAAACCCGAAACCCGAAACCCTTTTTGAGCAACGGACTTTGGAGGCTGCCGGCAAACATGCAACTTCTTAGAAGTCACATCACGCAAACTGTTCTATGCTAAACCCGAAACCCTGAACCCTCAACCCTCAACCCCAAACCCCAAGCCCCTGACCCGACCTGGACCCGGCACCGATACGCGGTTGAGGGCTGCCGGAGAGGCAGCGGCAGCGGCCCCGTGCTGGCCTCATTCTAAGGTGGGTAGCCTTCTTAGAGGGGCCTAGGGTTTAGGGTTTAGGGTTTAAGGTTTAGGGTTCAAGGTGAATAGCCTTGAGGGGACCGATTATGAAACCTGAATGGGGGCATAGGGTTTATGGGGTCTGGGGTTTAGGGTTTAAGGCGAGTGGCCTTAAGGGGACCGATTATGAATCCTCAAATTAGGGTTTAAGTTTACGGTTCATAATGCCCTAAGAGGGATGATAGTGTCCATGATCCCAGTCTTAGGGTTCATTTGGGCTCAGGGTTTGGGGTTTAGGGTTTAGGGTCAAGGATAGTAGGAACCCCTTCTTGGGCACTCTTATCGCTCACACTCGAAAAGTCTTTTGCCACCCGTCTAGCAAGCACTCCACAGTGCCATTGCCCAGCTGAACAAAGTCAATGGCCTGGGTTTCGGGTTTGGGGAAAGATTGCTATGAGCGCGTTGCAAGGCCGCTGGCTATACATCACAGCTGTGCTCGCGCACCCAGTGGGAGATCAGATCATTATAGGTTCAGACATGTCAGACATGTCCAGTCTACTTTCAAGATCTTCTTGAAAGTGCAAGCAAAGGTTAAATTCGCCCTGGGCCCCGTCGCGAGAGTTGCTGCCTCAGAAAGTCTGCACTATCCGCGTGCGCGACTCAGGCGTTAGGCCGGGCTTAGCAGTACCAGGATGGGTTATTAGGCCTTAAAATCCCCACAATGAACCCTGTAAGGAGCCTTTTAAGGGATGATAGGGCATAAAGGCCCATCCTGGTACTCTGGCATTGGGGAGCCTCACCCGTCATATTCCCCTTCCTCCTCGTCGAACTCTCCTTCCTCCTCGGCAGTCGCGTCCTGGTACTGCTGGTACTCCGACACGAGGTCGTTCATGTTGGACTCGGCCTCCGTGAACTCCATCTCATCCTAGGACGGCCCCTAACATCAAACAGGTTTAGGGTTTAGAGATTGCGGTTTTGCGTTTTTTTTTGCCACCCGCCTAGCTGACACTCAGGCCACGTTTTGGGTTTAGGGTTTAGGGTTGGGTGTTTAGGGTTTAGGGTTTAGGGTCGCTCTCAAAGAATATAAAGGCAAAATATATGGAAAGCATATCTCTTAAGAGCGCCCTAGCGTCCATACCCTCACCCGTGTACCAATGCAAGAAGGCCTTGCGCCGGAACATGGCCGTGAAGTACTCCGCGACCCTCTTGAACATCTCCTGGATTGCAGTGGAGTTGCCCGCAAAGGCCACAGCCATCTTCAGACCTTCTTGGTAGGCCAGTAACCACCTCATAATAAGGGCACCCTGTTTTTGGTTGGTTCCTTCAAAAGAGAACCTTGAACCAAAAAAAGGGAAGAAAGGGTTACCACCTGGGCTACCCAGCCTTTAGGTGGGATGTCGCAGATGCTTGCTTTGATGTTGTTCGGGATCCACTCCACAAAGTACGAGGAGTTCCTTAGTTGCTGAGTTCATGAGCCCCCCCCCCCCAAAAAAAAAAAAAAACATACGCTTTCTGTTCTGTAGGGGATTATAGTATCCCCAAAAGTGTAAAGTGTACCCACTCGGCTACTAAGGTTCTTGTTTTGCACATTGAGCAATTGCTCGTCGACTTCCTTGGTGGACATCCTGCCCCGGAAGAGCGCCGCGGCAGTCAAGTAGCGCCCGTGGCGAGGATCAGCCTATACTCCCCTTAGAGCCTTAATAACAATATTATGTTCAACATCCTCTTGGGTTTTATATAAACGAACATAAAGAATACTTCCAAGGGGGATATAGCAGCTGCGCACATCATGTTCTTGGCGTCAAACATCTGTTGCGTGAGCTGTGTGAAATTAGGAAAAGGTAGAGCAAGATGACAACGTCTTCACTCCACATGTAGAACTCAAGAACGAACTCCAGCACCTGCAAGAAGCTGAAGATGTGTAGGTCGAAAGACCTCAAGCTTAAGCCTGAGGATATCTGCGGCGCGCTGCCGCTTCCTCTTTACCTCGCCAATCCAAGGAATCAGCAAGTGTACGGCGCCACGAGCAGCTAAGCTGGCGTGGCGATCTGCCTCCATGTTGAGCTCTCTCCACTCCGTAGGAACATGAACATGTGCATGCTTGCCATGCGCAGGAACCCAACTCAGACGAAAACCAGCATCTCGGTGAACCTCCTTCAGAGCATTCCAAAGAGAAACTTTGTCGCACGAAGATTTGCTGCTCTTGAAAGCTGCAGGAACCCTTTCATGATCTGTAAGAATACGCAAAGAAGAAGCCATAGACGCTGCCTCCGCCGCCTTTGCCACCACGACGACTATGACCAACTCAGCAGCATTGACCGTGTTCTCAATATTGCCTAAAGGCTGGGACCAGGAAATTAAACCAGAAGACGTTCGCCACACCGCAGCACAAGCTGCCACTCGAGTCTCCGGGTCTGCTGGTGACTGCGCGCTGCCATCCGTCGCAATGAGAAACTCACCATTGAAAAGCTTGGGAGGGTGAGCCACAAGCAAAGCACGAACTTCCTCAATCCACTGAGTGATTCTGTGCCAAGTCCAATCGCCAGCCGCAGGTGGAGGAACCCACTGCGCCCAACCGTTCTGCAACCAAGCCGCTCGTTGAGACCCTGCCAGATCACCACCGAGGGCGTCGGGCTGTAGATCCAGCTCTGCCCGAAGAGCAGCAGAGCTATCGCATTCATACATGAGGTGAAAGGTGGTAGCGCGCTGAGCGCCACAGTGGGGGCACGCCTGAGAAGGGAAGGTGACTGGATCAATATGAGCCATCCTCTCATGGTTGGGCTCTGCCGCAACTGCGCATCGCCAAGCCAAAGCTCTTGAAGAAGGAACCGTTGCATCCACAAACTTGCGCAAAGGAACGACATCGATACTATCCACATCAATGCAAACGTGTCTGCAAGAGTTGTGGCACTTCATCATGTAATGTCTCCACCCTTGTCGCAGGAGGTGTCCAAAAACGGCCCGGCTGATCATGTTGAGGTCGAAACTGCCTTGCGGGGTCTGAACCGTCCAAGGAGAATCTGTAGCCTCCCAGCCCACACGCTCGTAGGCATCCCTCATGTGATCCACCAAGCTTTTGCGAAAACCGGACGGCTGGGACCAAGCATGCTCGATGACGGTGCGCCAGGAAGAGAATTGCAATCGTCGACCAGCACAGATCGCCGCAAAGGTTATTAAAGCGATAGGTTCGACATGCCAACCTTTCGGCTGCAAAACCCAAGAAGCTCCACGATGGCGCCATGCCGCGTAGCGTTTCCGAGCCTGCAAAGTAACTTCAATCTTCGTGGCCAAGGACTTGACCTCCGAATAATTGCACGAGATCCACGCGGCATCCCATCGAAAAAGGCCCATTGTGGCGATCATCACCTTGCATAGCTGCGAAGAACCCAGTTGCAAATTGCGCGTGATCTTGCCCAAACGTTCCACCCGCAGCCCGAGCTCCTTGAAGCGAGCCCGGGCTCTGGGGGCAGTGCTGGGAGCGGCCTTGCCATTGAGGTCAAAACGAATGCCCAACAAGTCAATGTACTCGTCCCGCGCGTGAGGGAAAAGATCACGGCTTTCTGGTACTGCATTGACGATAGCCATTTCCTCCTTTGTAGCGTCTTCGGCTTGTCCACTGAGATGATCAAGTTCACGAAGAAGGTTCACAACCCCTGTCATGTGCTGCTCCTGTGTTGTGCATATCGTGCGGTCGTCCACAAACGTGTAGAAGGAAGCCGCGGGGAAGTCATTCCGGATCACGGCCTCATGAGCCGCCGCATACAAGGCCGCTGCAAGAGGACTCACCGGATCACCTTGGGGCATGCCCCTGTCTGGAACCTGCCACTGACTAACCGCCGAGCCAGCCTTGATGACAGCGGGCCTGCGACGATTGAGCTCAAAGTAAAGCTCGGCGTGTTTGGGGAGCATCCCAAACCATTGCGCCAATTGTTTGGCGATGTCCACATCCAGGCGAGTGAAGCAATTGCTCAGATCGCTTTGACGGAAAATACATTGCTGGCCCGTGGAGGTGGCGTGAGTAATGTGGGCCTCGACAGATAGCAAGATCTCGGTGGCATCAGTCTTTTGAATCTGCGCGACCCAAGGCTTGTATCTGGAAAGGAGCATCTTCTCCAGGATCCGAGTGACCACTGCCGTGACCCCAATCGGGCGCATGTCCGAGGCACCCGCGCGCTTTGGAATCATGGTAACTTCCTGCATGCGCAAAGCTGCAGGCCAGACACCCGTGTCTTTGATGGTGTTCAACAGCGTAACCAACATTTCAAGCGCCTCAGCGGGCGCCTTCAACAACTGATCAGCCGACCACTGCGAAGGACCAGGAGCGGACCCAGAAGTGTCCTTCAATGCACGCCGGAGCTCCTTTACAGAGAAGGGCCGATCGACATCGTGAGGAGGAACGTGAGGAACTACATGAGGCCGCACCCGCCGCAAATAAGCCTGCCGGAGGTCATCGTCCAAAGCCGAATGATTTTTGCGATTCCACTGCGCCTGAGCATGAGCAAGGACAGCAGCAGGGTCGGCCGTGAGCCCATCTGGAGTCGTGACGGCAACCTGGCCACATCGCGTCTTGCCACCAATGAAATCAAACAAAGGTTTGAGCCCGGCCTTGCGAGCTCCTTCTTTCCAAATTGTGAACCTGTCCAAAGCCGTTTCCTTGGCCTCCGCTCTGATAGCCACGTCCAACGCCTGTTGCATATCCACAGGCTCTGTAGCATCTTCTTCGATAAAGCCTTCACGACAAAGGTTGCGAAAAGCACGAGTAGCTTTGTTCAACAAGTTTGCATCCACATTGCCCCGCTCCCATTGTTTGACAAGTTCGGTGATCTGGCGCCAAACACGATGCAAACGACGTTCCCTATGATTCATTCGAGACGCATTGGGCCCCTTGAAAACCAAGTCCATGGTGTGAAGCTCTGTGCCCCGAAAACGATGAGCAAGATGTGGAGCAACTCCCCCGGCTTCTTCCAAAGCCGTGCTCCAGATGCGCCACAACTCCTCGGTATCACCATTGTGCAAAGCGCGCTCCCAAGTGTCCCGGGTGCGTGACCAAACATTGGACCAAAGGAGATGCCACTCTTCTTGCGACACTCGCAGATCAGGATAACTCTTGATAGTCGTGAACTGGCAAGAACCGGAAAAGTCGATGCGAAGTAGAATACCGCTATGGTCTGACATACGCGCGTCCAGGGACACCTCCGTCACCGCCACATGCCGAACCAGAGCAAAATCCAAACAAGACGAAGCCGTGGAGAGATACTCATACTTGGTGTGCTCGTGCGCATACTCGCAAACGGACTCCAATGCAGCCAATTCAGGATCGTGAGGTTGCGCATTGAAATCGCCCATGACAATAGTAGGAAGGCTCGCAGAGGAAACACGGCCAGCAATGATCTCGGCCAAGTCCTGACGCTGTCGCTTCGCCTCGCCTCCGCCAACAGGGAAGTAGACAGAGATCAAAAGCAAGTCCGCCCGTCCGCACCGCAAAACAGCGCTGCAAACTCTGCCCTTGTATTCAATAGGCCAAGAAAAGGGATCAAGGGCGAAACCTTTAGGACCAGCCAACATAGTGCCCATGGAATTTCCCGTGCCCGGAGAACAAACATAGCCAGGAAAACCAGCCTTCGCCGACGCTTTGCTGAACCGCTCAGCACGACGATCATCTTGATGGGTCTCTGACAAAGCAATGACATCAGCGTGTAAGTCTTGGGCGCGTTGCCGGAAGAACTCCCATTTGCCCAGAGATTTTTCACCAACGATGCCCCTGACATTGGCAAAGAACAGACTCAAAGAATCTCTGCGACGATCATCCTTGTGTTTTGCGTGTCGCGGTGGACCGGGATTTGAAGCCTCGCCCACCCGAATGCCGGACATCAATCCTGCACTTCTGCCACCAACTGGGACAGAAAACGTTCACTCGGCGCTTGACCTGGCTGTCAAAGCGTACTTCTTGGAGATGATCACGTGGCGGGTAGTGGTCTGCTTGTTGCATCGGGCCTTCATCTTCTTGGACATCTTCTTCATGGGCTTTCGCGAAGACTTGCGGGGATCACGACGGATCGTCAAGCGGGCTGCCCGCTTGGTGCGACGACCTTCCGCGACTCGAACTGCGCTCTCAACTTCACGACACCTCATTTTCACTGCGTCTGGAGTTGCGGGACATGCCACGCGGCGTGCGTGGGACAAGTCATAGCAGCCCTCGCACCGGCGACACTGAAACCGACGTGGACTGCCACGCCGCGGAGCTCCCACAGACTTGTCCTTGAGGTCGTGAAGGTTTTGGAGGACCTTTGCTGAGACGAGGCTGCGCATGTTGCACCACTGTGTCCAAGCAATGCGCTGTCACGCCACAGCCGCCTTGTCCGCCATGTTCTGCGTCTTCTGCTTGTGTTGCTCCTTGGTAAGCTTCGGAAAGGGCTCGCCAGGGTGACACTGGGACCAGTGCATTCTGGCGTCATGTAAACGTCGATTTTGCTCTTGCTTCGGGATAAGCGCTGCCGCCTCCGGCAAAGACCAACCACACGTGCACTTGTAGATGCCATCCTTCGTCCACACCTGCCCATTGGATGAAGAGGAGGAAGAAGAACCTTTGTCCGTAGGCACGGCCTTGTAGGAGCCCTGTTGAAACTGCGCTGCGGCAGCCAAGCCACGCCGAATGACCGCATCAAGCCGTCCGCCACCACTGGGACTGGAAGCCCCAACCTTGAATGTAGAGCAAGACTTCATCGAAGGAGCGTTGGAGGAAGTCTCGCGTGCATCCCCTGGCCCACCAACCCGAAAGGTAGAAACGGAAGTTGCCTTCTTTGAGGAAGAGCCAGCGCGTCCAACACGAAACGTCGAGCATGAAGGCGTCGAAGACTGCTTGGACTTTTTGCTGCTGGAACGCAAAATCCCGGGGGCATCCCGAAGACGGATAATCCCGGAGCACTTCCCAGGTCCTCCACCTCGGCCGCGATGGGGCATCTGAGCTCCAACATTTCTCAACCACTCCGGCGGGAAACCCTTTCCGACAGGACGCACCGGTCTGAAATGTTGGTCCCGAAGAAGCAAGACCAAAGGCTCTCCCTCAGCTCTGGAATTGATCACTCGTCTCGCCCACTTCTTTGAGGTGTCCAGATAATGTACGAGAACCCGCTTCTTGAGGCGCTCGGCTGCCGCACGCATCTGCAACTCGTCCAGCCAAAAGTCCGGCTTAGCAACCAACTTGAGGTACTCATCCCACGAGTTGCCCGTGTGCTCCGGATGGTCGGAGTCAACCGCCCATGATTTCTTGAATCTGGCGCTGTCCTGAAAGAGCCACTCTGCGGTCTTCACACGAAGGGACCCGGCATCTTTGGACACATACTTTTCATCCAACTGCATGTCGAACTTACCGGCGAGGTATGTGGCTCCAACCAAGGAATGGTAACCGCACTTGCCATCGGCGCCGGTCTCAATCACCGTCCACCCTTTGAGAGGGCAAGTGGGATCCTGAATCACCTCTTCGCAGCCAAAGGCTCTGGTGGAGCGAGCTTTCTTGCATGGTGGCTCCGCGCCTTGTGGCTTGGCTCCATGTTGTTTGACCTTGTTCTTCTCTTCACCATCAGCCACATGAGCAGTAGTTGTTGAGTCTGGGCTTGCACCATCCATCATAGGCTCATCCAACTGCGTATCTGGGACCTCGATGGTAGTTGTCGGCGGCGTCGTCCATGGAACTTTAGGTCGCGCCAGAGGCTTGCCGTACTCATTGTGTATGTCCAAGCGTCGTGGCTGCGGTACAATCTTCAAAGTGACGTCGTCCGCTAGCTCATAAACGAAAGTGGTTTCCTTAGTCGGACGGGCCTTAGCTCGAAATCGCCAGGACTTCCCGGATTGACCGAGAACCTCGGGATTGTCCCAACCGACGGACGTCAGCACATTCAAAAGATCTTGAGCAGCCCAAAAAGGAGGGCACGTAGCCAACCAGTAGAAAGGGGCGGAGGTCTTGGGATCTAAACCCTTCTGTTCGAACCCCAAGTCCCGTCCCCCACCCAACCGATGGATCAAGCCAGTGGTGGCACCTGACTGCTTGAGGACATTGCAAGCGTGAAGCCAATACTCAAAATCAGAGGAGTCACTGGGCCGATCAACCCAACGCGCATGCACCTCAGGGTCCTTCTTTTTGTCTTTGGCCAAGCGAGACACAAAAAGAGGAGTCTGACCTGACTTGCCCAACAAGACAGAAGCCGTGGAGGAAGAGCAAGTGCAGTAGCTGACGAGAGCGACCTCTTTACCCGAAGACGTTTCAGGACGCCACGCGGCAAAGTTCCTAGCTTTCTTATCGTCCTCAGGCCAAACTTGTTTCAGAAAGGAATCGGCCAACTGAGTAGTCAGCTTTTCCGCCATGTACTTGGCATAGACTGTCAAACGCACGGTATGCATCTCAATCTTTTCAGGGATTTTGGCCTCCCTGGGTTTGTTGATAACAGGACTCTTGGGAGAAACCCCTTTTCCTAAGACCGCAAGGGAGACTGAGCGCAAAACAACCTGATCATTGTGTTTCAGACCAAGCCATTGGGACTGGGACTGCAAGGTCAAACCTCGACGGGGTACCCACGCAACCTCTGACGCGGAGCGACACGCAATGACACACGTGAGACCACCCTTCTCGGACAAAGCATGCTCATTCCACAGGGCCGCTGCCTCTTCCGCAGCTTCTTCAGTCATGATGGCCGCGACCGGGCCCGAATGTGGCAAATCCCCTCTCTGAAGCTTAGCAAGGACCGAAGCTTGTTTCAACAAAACAACATTGGGCCAGTCTTCATCCCGCAAAGCAAAACCCCCCAAAGGAGCTCTAGCAGAAGCAGCTTCAGTAAGGGGCGCCGGAGGCTTCTTAAGAATGGGTTTGGCAGCAGACTTGGCCTTATGTTGGGGAGCAGGTGAAGGGGAACCCTGATCACGAGCCTCGGAGCCGGGCCCATCCTCAAGTAGCAGATGCCCCCCCTTAGCAGCCCGCAAAACCGCATTCAACTTGTCAAGTAACGCACGTCCTGCCGGAGGGCGTTCAAGCAACTTCGCAAGGGCCTCGCGCAGTGACTGTTTGCCCTTACCTTTGCCTTTGTTCCCGTTGGACCTATCCGAATCCTCACCCGATTTCGCGGAGCGAGTAAACTTGTCAGAAACTTCTGTCAAGGCGTGGAACAAGGCATCATGGAAGGCCTGGTCTCTCTTGCTGGTTTGTTTGTCCTTCTTGGAGTTGTCAGAATCCGCACCCGCAGCAGCCCCTCCCCCCAACAAGGAAACCGCAGCATTGTAAGTGTGTGCAGACAAGCAGGACTCACTTTGCATGTTTGTGCGCAATGCAAGCAAGAACTGAGCTCGTGACCGCCTAAGGACAGATCTAGGTTTGGAGCCCAATCGGCGCCAGAAAGAGGTACCGCGCGAACCCGGCACTCGCATTCCTCCAGCTCGTCGTGACTGAACCACCCAATAACGAGAGCACTTCCAAGCCAGGGAACACTGCGAAGAATCTCCCGGGATCTTGCAAGACTTCGCACTGACAGATCGCGACGATGTTGTTGAACATTGAGCGGCATCATCAGAAAACATGTTCATGTCACTGCCAGAGTCAACCAGAGGCTGTGCATGGAAACCATGGCAAGGAACTACATCAGAGAAGGTCCTACAATCTGGGAGGCCCAGGGGCGGGCCAGTACTCAGGATATCAGTGACAGACTTCGCTGCCACTTGGGGTTCCTGCACCCCACAAGAGTTTTTGGACAATTCTTGATGCCCGCAGGTCTTGATCTGTTCTTGGGGTCCTCCCGTCCCCGCCGGTTTCTTGAAGACAGAAGACCAAGAACCACAAAAAACCCCGAAACAACCCCAAGGCCTAAGAAACCCAGGCGTATCAAAGGACGCCAGCCAAGAGGAAGAGGAACTCGTAGTGCCAAAAGAGCACGAAGAAGAACTGGAACTTGTTGCAGGGGAAGATGGAATCTTCTCGCTGTTTCCAGAATCACCTGAAGAATGCAGGGATGCCCGCACTTTCCAAGGTCCCGAAAAAGTCTCCAAGAAAGGAGCAAAGCAATCTGGAATGAATTTGGACGCCATCCTTCGGCAAGTATACTCGCTATCAGGATTAAGCGGCGCTTTGGAGCTCCGAAACATGCCCGGTGAAGCTCCGCCATGCACGGCAACCTCATCGTGAGTAATCTCACAACTGTTGCTGGTAATTCGTGTTGCTCTCGGCGCGACCACAAGATCGCCCGCCTCCGCGAGGCCATCGGAATGGCTGGGCGCGGCAACGTAGGAGGCCTGTTGCGTGAGCTGTGTGAAATTAGGAAAAGGTAGAGCAAGATGACAACGTCTTCACTCCACATGTAGAACTCAAGAACGAACTCCAGCACCTGCAAGAAGCTGAAGATGTGTAGGTCGAAAGACCTCAAGCTTAAGCCTGAGGATATCTGCGGCGCGCTGCCGCTTCCTCTTTACCTCGCCAATCCAAGGAATCAGCAAGTGTACGGCGCCACGAGCAGCTAAGCTGGCGTGGCGATCGCGTGAGCTCCGGAACTGTGAGAGCCCGGTACTGCTGCGACCCACGAGAGGTGAGGGGAGCAAAGCCTGTCATGAAGAAGTGAAGCCGCGGGAAGGGCACCAGGTTCACGGCGATCTTGCGCAAGTCACAGTTCAGCTGCCCTGGGAAGCGCAGGCAGCATGTGACGCCACTCATGGCCGCAGACACCAAGTGGTTTAAGTCCCCATAGGTCGGTGTCGTGAGCTTCAGCGTTCTGAAACAGATGTCATACAAGGCCTCGTTGTCCAAAAGGAAGGACTCATCGGAATTCTCCACGAGCTGGTGGAAGCTCAGCACAGCATTATATGGCTCCACGACTGTGTCGGAAACCTTCGGGCTGGGAATGACGGAGAAGGTCTCCATGATGCGATCCGGGTACCTATACTCCCCTTAGAACCTTAATAAGAATAATATGTTTAATCTCCTCTTGCGTTTTATATGAACAAAAGTAAAAAACAATTCCCAAGGGGGATACAGGTACTCCTCGCGCACCTTCGACACCAGCAGTGTGCCCATGCCAGCTCCGGTGCCTCCGCCAAGCGAGTGGCAAAGCTGGAAGCCTTGCAAGCAGTCGCAGCCCTCTGCTTCCTTTCCTTACTTCTCCAGTAGCCAAGGGGGGAAAAAGGTTAAACTCTAATACTCCTACTAAACTTTTACATTAAGGAAACCCAAAAAGTTTAAAGTGTTCCTACTAAATTAAGGAAAACCCAAAAAGCTTAAAGTTCAACTAAAGGCAAAGTAAGCTTCGCACCACATCCAGCACGCTGTCGATCAACTCGGCACCCTCCGTGTAGTGTCCTTTGGCCCAGTTATTTCCAGCACCTGTCCTTAGTAGCCCAGTAACCATCTTACAAGAAGGGCACCCGTTTTTTGGTCTTATAATAACGGCACCGTTTTTTTGGGGTTGGTTACTTTTTTAAGGGAACCCAGAACCCCCCAAAAAAAAAGGGTAAAGGGTACCTGGGCTACCAAGTGTCTGGCCAAAGACAAAGTTGTCAGGACGGAACAGCTGGCCGAAAGGTCCAGCTCGGACGCTGTCCATTGTGCCCGGCTCAAGATCCATCAAGACCTAGGAGTCGATTTCAACAGTCCCCTAAACCCTAAACCCTAAACCCTAATAAGGGAAAGTAAAAAAAAAAAACAACTATCTCAAGTCGATACCTCGAGACGGCACGCGGCACGTAGCGACCTCCAGTCGCCTCGTTGAAGTACACGTTGATCCTTTCGAGTTGGAGATCGCTGTCGCCATGGTAGGTGCCTGTCTATACTCCCTTAGAACCTTAATAAAAATACTAATCATAATAGTGACCATAAACATAATAATGCTTGTTGTTTAATATCCTCTTGGGTTTTATATAAACAAAAATAACAAAAAAATCCCCAAGGGGGTGAAGCCTGTAGGGTCAATGCCGTGCTCGTCGGCGATCACTTCCCAGAACTTGGCACCGATTTGATTTCCGCATTGGCCTCCCTGGATGTGCACGAGCTCGCGCATGGCTAGAGGACACGAGGAGCGGAGGCAAGGGAGCTAGGGCACAAGTGACGTGGTGGAGCCAAAATGACCTCGAAAAGCTTCGGGTTTTTTCTGTCTCTGTTCTTACCCAGGGTGTAGGTTTTAAGTTTTTTTTGGTTTAGGATTCAGTACCTATGTGGTCTATGCATGGACATAAATGAGACCCACAAGTCGGAGGCCACACCTTGGCCAAAAGGGTCACCTTCACGTAGGGTTTGGGGTTAGTACTACAGGGCGTCCTAAATGTAATGATACATGTTGATAATGATGCTTTTTAGTATCGGTGTAGTTTGTGGTGGAAATTATCGTGCTTAGGTATAAATATAGTACAAAGTACTAATGTTTTTGTAATGACTTTGAACCTTGTTCATATTCAAGCTTTGCAGATGTAACGAACAATGATGACGGACATGGATTAAAATCACTTGCCGGCTCTAGAACAAATAATGTTCAAACATGTATATTGTGGTACAAAACACAGTTTCAAAAATCAACAGTATCCAACATTGGGAATCAGCTGTTTGGTCTGAGATATAATCAAGTAAATAACTAGAAACAGTGACATTAGTGGTGGTGTTTTTGTTTATGGACATAAAGCTTAACCTGGCACAACAATCACCATCTTTTTTTACGTCTGTTTTTATGCTGCCACCATACACCAGCGGCACATGCACAAATACTGACACTCCGTAGAGGCACATACTGCTTTTTTGGAGAGGCGCACGAAGAACCATGCAGCAGAGTGAGTACCCAAAGACCTTCTCCAGGTTTGGGGCAAGCAGGGCTTGGGGGTTCAAAGGTGGACCCTAAACCCTAAACCCTAAACCCCAAACCCCGAGGGTTTCATGGTACCTATAGGCGTCAGACCTTGAGCTCTCTGCTTTTCGAGTCCACTCAGGTTGGAAATCTCAAGGCAAGGAAGGGTAAACACTTCGGGGCTTCAGGACAGTCACGGTAAGAATGCGTAATAAGGCCAAAATAGGGGCCTTAATAATTACAATAGGGTCTTGGGGGGCGGGGTATTATAGTTTTATTATTTGGGGCCATAAGGGAATGCTCTTAATAATTACTCCGACCCCCAAACCCTAAACCCTAAACCCTAAACCATTACTGTGCAGTTAGGGCGGCATAACTGCTTCATTCGCTCACTGGTGCCCGGAGAGCGCCGCGAGCTCCTCTTCCCTTTGGGCGATGCGGAGGAGCCTCCCGGAAAACCCCGAGGATGTGGGTTTAGGGTTTAGGGTTTAGGGTTGCTGAGGGATTTAGGGTTTAGGCTTTTAGGCTTTTAGTTTAGGGCTTCGCCTTGCAGTGTGTTCCAAATGGACACCGCAGCATCGAAGTCCACCGAAAGTCCCAGAACCCTCAGCCCTAAACCCTAAACCCTAACCACCTTGGCTGCGGAAGCTAGTCGCACGACACACGATCGACGTAGATACACACTTCAGGATTTCCGACAATTTGGGTGGGTACCGTCTTGGGGTCCTTGTTACAAGGGAATCCTGCTAGCTGTGGGGCGTTTTTAGGCGTCCCCTATTTTAGCTTAATTATCCCCAAATGGACTTAATTATGGGAGAACCTGGGGGGGGGGGAGTATAGAGGCGGATAGTAGGGGAACCCATGGCATGTGCATGGATCTACAAAAGCACCGCAGACAACCGGCGCACCCCTTGGGAGAACACATCTCGAAACTATACTTGGAGGTTCATGGGTGGTATAAGTAGAGTTATAAGTATGGCAACTCTACTTATAACCACACTTAGGGTACTTGTAACCCTACTTATAAACACCCCATCAACAAATAGACCCTGAGGCTTAACAGCTGAAACCTCGGACCGAGCACGTCTGGCCTTCGGTCTGGCCTGAAGGATTCTCAGCCGACATTGCTGACATGGAAGGGCGTTTGCAAAACCAAGCGCGCTTCTCAAAAATCAGGGCGCGCACCAAACAGACAAGTCTTGGGAGGCCTTGGCTGCTCATTAGGCTGCATGTGTAAGGCCCAAAGATGTTTTTTCATGCTGAGAGTTGAGGTTCGAAGTCTGTGGCAGCTGTCTTTGTCAACAATGAAGGTCTCCTTGTCAAGCAAGTCCCTTAGTGCCTTACTGCTGTCTTCCTGTCGTCCTACTTGCTTGAGAAATCATGCTCGACACGTACTGAAGCACTACAGGCCTTCAGGCAGTTCTAACCCTAAACCCTAAACCCTAACAGATTCCTTCCTTCCGCTTTGCCTTTGAATTGCGGATCGGTGCAAGGGCTAACAGCCCATTGCAAATGGACTCACAAGTTTCAGGGGCTTAGGGTAAACCCTCAACCCAAGTGTCAGGGTTTAGGGTTGAGGGTTTAGGGTTTAGGTACGAACATGGTGACCACTAAGCAATCACCTCAACCCGCAAAGTCTGGCTGCCATGAACCCTTAAACCCTGCAATGGGAACTCTTAACCTCTTCTTCGCTGGGGGTAGGTTTGAAGGCCCTACAGAAATAAATGGCTTCATAACATGCCCAAACCAACTAGAGGGGCCTAATTCTAGTCTACATATTTAAACGGGCTATGCGGGAATACTATTAGTAATTCTTCCGACCCTAAACCCGAAACCCTAAGCCCTCAGACCAAAAACCTATATTATCTCCATGATTCAAACCTGCCCCTGTTCCGGCTAGCCTGCCTGGTGCTGGGTACAGCCTGGGGACTTCAGCTCAGACGCGGCATCTTGCAATGGTTCCGGCCTATCTATATGGTAGGGTTTAGGATTTCGGGTTTGGGGCTTGGGGTTGTGGGTTTGGGGTTTAGGGCTTAGGTAAGGGTTCGCATGCTCCAGGAGACTTGAGACAGCTTGCTTGACCCAACTACCAGCGGCTATGAGCCCCCCTTTAAAGTGTTAGCTCCAAGAAACGCAGCCAGGAAGAATACAAGTAACTGCCCAAATGCGTGGAGCATGAGGCCTTATGCTTCGAAGGAAACACTGTCGCATGTCGAGCATATGTGATTGGGCCATTCCCTACTAAGAACCAGTGAGACTATCCACACACAAGATGCGGATCACCTGCTCACTGGGTCTGGGTATCATGGCAAGGATCGCGGTTGCAACTAGACAAGTCAGCAGAGGGGCGCAAAGGCAGCAACCTCTCTAGGGCACCCAAAGCACGTGGAAGACTCACACCCAAGCTCTCCACCAGAAACACGGCCGATCGCATTGAGGGCAGGGCTTCCATATTGGAGCTGCAGTGAAAGGTCGCGGCCCTTGAGCGGTCGTTGTCAAATGGCACACAGGCGTAGGGCTCACCGAATGCTCTAGGGTGGTCATGTGACTTCCACTCAACATTGGAATGCCATGGGTGTCGAGGGGGGCGAGCCATCGAAAAAACATTAAAAGACATCAGACACACTTGAGGCCTCGCCGTCAACAAATCAGCGGATTAAACAAGCTCTATTTCCCGCTTGCTTTACCAGGGATACCTTGTCTTTGCCCGTGCAGACTGTGAAAGGCAAACCTTCCTTCGAAAAAGGAAGTAAACCCTTCATGTCGTCTATGGCTTACTGGTCAACCCCCTACTCTGCTATGTGTCAGAATATGCTGGCGATGAGAAGGTTTCGTTTTCCTGCGCTTTCCTTGTACGTTCACGCAAAAACCTGATTCCCTGGTACTGTCCACTGGGGGGGGGGGACGTCTTTTCATTGCAAGCCTCTATTTCTTGTAGCCGAATAGTGGGCATAGAGTTTCCATTCGTATACTTTTGTATATCTCAGAACGAGGACCTCGACCTCCTCCACTCGGCAAGCATCTAGCTCCTCTAATTCCAAAACATCGATCATCTTCACAGACAACCCAGGATCTCTGGCAAGCGGTGCAAAGCCAAGAGCCCCGAAAATCCGACAAGACTATGCGGAGCTCAAGGAAGAAGCCACAAAGGCGGAGTTCAGGGTTTAGGGTTTAGAGGGTGAAGGGTTTCGGCGTACCAAAGCCCCGAACCCTCTGACCGCAAGGTTTTTGCACATGTGGGAGGTCGCTTCTCTAAAAACCGGTCCCTTTTGGGATTGCTTTGCTATGCTAAGGCGGCCCCCAAGTACATATAGGACCCAAAAAAGGACCATTGTGTTGAGAATAGTGTTGAGAACTAACCATGTCTGTATGAACACGGCGGCATGGTTTGCGCTTAAGGCCATGTGTTTTTAGTTTTTGCACGTTCCATGTTGGCAGGACGGAAGAAGAGTCGCAGGACTACTCGTGCTTTACAGGCTTTTTTGTCTGCAGTATTTAGAATAGCCTAGCCAGTATTGAAAGATGGCACTAGGAGGACGCTGGTTGGTGTCTTTCACGCGTCTTCTTCAGTCACTTCAGTCCTGCTAACGCGGAATGTGCAAAGAAAAACCGCGTGCTTCCAACAAAAGCGATGCTGCAGTGTCCATTTTGGTGTGACCGGACTAAAATACGCCCCGCCTCCTCAACCCCTTAACAACCATTGCGGTCGCAACGGGTCACGTTAGCCAAGACCCTTTATCGATATCAGGGCTGCAAAGCTCCTGACGCCAAGCCCGGCCAGGAGGGTGTCTGGGTTTAGGGTGATGCTGATTCAATTCTTATTCATAGGGTTTTATAGGGTTTACAGGGTGTTTGTAGGGTTTTGCTAGGGCATGTGTGGGTTGACGAGGGTTTATGGTCTAGGGTGCTGGTGATCTGTGCGGAGCCTCACTGCTCTCATGCATGACAGGAAGGAAGGCCACCGTTTCAGTATTGGGGTAGTTCTCTAAATTAGGGTCCATTTTTGGGATCCCTTTGTTTAAAGGGTGCCACCAAATAATGGGCACCCAAAAAGGGAATCCAAATTCCTCGAAAATTCTCTTCCGATCTATGGCAATTACTTGGTCTTTTCACACCCGAGCGCAAGAAAAAAATTGTGTCATAAGCTCGCGAAAAGAATCAAGTGTGACTACGATCTTCTCCAACTTCTTCCTCGAAGCCTCAACATCACCCGCATTCTTGATTGCTAGAGTGGGTACTTCCCAAAATGGGGGTACCCCTTCTATACCCTAAACAGACTAGAATCCCCTTAAAGCAACCCCAAAAAGGGGTACCCCTGTTTTCGCAACAAAAACCATGTACGACCTTAAGATCGTGTTGTGGGCAGCCCTTGAGAGCTCTAACCAGGCAAGACGAGACCTAACCCCTAAACCCGAAACCCTAAACCCGAAACCCTAAACCCTAAACCCTAACCCTAAACCCTACAGTAAACCCTTAAACCCTAAACCCTCTTCGCACCACCAAGGCCGCAGCTGCGGCTGCGAAGTGTGACCTCAGTTCACGGGATAGGGTTTAGGGTTTAGGGTTTAGGGTTTAGGGTTTAGGGTTTAGGGTTTAGGGTTTAGGGTTTAGGGTTTAGGGTTTAGGGTTTAGGGTTTAGGGTTTAGGGCAGTTTAGGGTTTAGGGTTGCTGTAGTATAGCGTGCAAGCTGTAGATGTGACGGTTTTCAGTGGAACCTTGAAGGCATCGAGCAATGCGAAGGGCGGCCATGGCTCGATCGTGAAGGGCCACCCTAACACCTTTCTCCCACCCCACGCCGTCTCAGGCGGCAAAACCACCCAAACCTACTGCTTTTAGGATTAGGCCTAAACTCAAACCAACCGTCCACTTCCAAAAACTTCTTCCGTTCCAGGCGTCTCGTGTCAGGGGGTTCCAGGGGGCGGGCAGTCCCACGAGAAGGGTCACAGAAAGGGGGGTCTCAACGATCACCACGAAATTTTCAACAATTGCAGGGAGGTGCCAGGGCAGGTGGGTCTCAGGGGGCTCACAGGGGGTCCAGGGGTCGCAGGGGGTCTGAGAGGTTTCAGGGATGTTTCAGGGAGTCCAGAAAAATGTTTTTTGAGCACCCGCCCTGCCTGAGCCGGCCTGCCCCCTGGTCCCTGGGCACGCTGCGGCGAGTGGCTGGGGCCCTGGGGGTCGAAGATGCCAGCGCCACCTCGAAAGTTTAGGGTATTTACTCAGAAAGCAGTACCCAAGACGTGCTCCGGTACCGGGCCCATCGTGTGGGACCGGGCGAGCGACCTGGGTCGGCTTGCGCCGTCGAGGTCGAAGGGCTTAAGCGCTGGTAGCGGGGCGGCCCAGGCCCTGAGTTTAGGGTGGGGGTGTTTCCCCTTGTCCCAACAGTCCTTAATAGGGATTTTGATTGGGGGTACTATCATCCCTATTAAGGACTGCTAGTAAAAGGGTGAATATCCCAAACTAGTTCCATTCAGGACTATTGGGGGGTTTGGGGGAGGCAGTCCCTCGGGAACAATTAGCATCACCCCAAAGCTCTACAGGGATGGAAGAATCGAAAAGAGGGTTTAGGGTTTAGCGGTTAAGGTTTAGGATGCTACCACTAAGTCGACGGCCACCGGACTATGTGGGCACGCAGTTGCCCAATCAACCCTTCAATTTTTCTTGGGTGCTGGACCACTGCCACGGCCGCTGCTCGAGCGATCTTCCTCGGGACAGAGGCGGCTTGACATACCCTAAACCCTAAACCCTAAACCCTGAACCCTGAACCCTGAACCCTAAACCCTAAACCTAAACCCTAAACCCTAAACCCTCATGTGTATCAAATGCAACGACCATTGGGTTTCACGGGGGCCTCCACCTCATGTCCTCCAGCTCTTGCGCGCGTCTGACACAGCAGTCTGCTGTGGGATGCTCAAGCTTCGAGGGTACCCTAAACCCTAAACCCTAAACCCTAAACCCTAAACCCTAAACCCTACACCCTAACCCTAAACCCTAAACCCGTTTTCGGTTCATGGCATAGGGCTGAGGCCGGCGCCATTTCTGTTTCCATGGGCATTCGCGCGCGCGAAGCCCAACGCTCTACCCGAAACCCTAAACCCTCTGCTGCACCCCAAGCCAGAATTGTCAGACGTCTAGTGTCAGGCTGAATTTGAGGGCAATATGGCCGCGGCTCCTTTAGCTCGGTGGGGCCTGTCCTTCGCCTATATACTAATATAGTCCAGCGCTGCTGTGCGATTCACCCGGTTCGACTCTAACTTAGTTGTCCTGTATCCTGGGGGGTACTTATTGTTCATCGTTGGGAATATTGATATATATGTATATGTATAATCTATTACCCCCAAAAGGTTACAGTCTACCTCCTCTACTAATGAGTCTAATGTGGCTCAAAGGTTTTTTCAGGCCCGACGGTTGACACATGCTTCTCAACGTGGACCGAGCGGCTTCAAGGCTACTTAGACTTCCGCAGAACTCCTGGTGCCCACGCTTGCCTTGCCTGGAAGCAAATGGCTGCGGGCGTTAGATCAAGGTTGGGGGCGTGAAAGCTGTAAGGCTGTTGTGTTGAGCATGGCCTTGGGGGTTCAAAGATCTTCCCCTATATATATATATATATATATATAGAGGGTTTAGGGTTTTGGGTTTCGGTGTGTGTGTATATATATAATAGCCCCTACATATACCTAGGTAGCCCCAAAACACCTAAGTAGCCCCCAAATCACCCCTAAGATCGCCCTCACAGGGTCCCTCCTTAAGTCCCTTTCTGAGAGAAAAAAGAACCGGGAAAGCTAAGCTATGTACGTGGAGACCTTGGGGGTCCAGAGCTGCAAAGCAAGGGTCCGGGGTCCCAAGGATTCTCAGGGGAGTCATGCTTCTGGGTCTAAGCTCTAAACCCTAAACCCTAAACCCTAAACCCTAAACCCTAAACCCTAAACCCTAAACCCTAACCCCTAACCCCTAAACCCTAAACCCTAGACCCTAAGCCGGCGGAATCGCAGCGCCAGTCTTCCTGTTCATCCTCGTGGTACTTTTGCTTCTCACAGAGCGCGACGAAGCAAACGATTCTGTCCGGAAAAATCATGCTTTGTAGTACTTGCCCACGAGCCAGCCTGCAGCAAGGTTTCTTCTCGCTTGCTGTTTAATCTGACACTACACTGGAGTGCTTTTGCAACACACACACACACACACACCTAAACCCTAAACCCTAAACCCTAAACCCTAAACCCTAAACCCTAAACCCTAAACCCTAAACCCTAAACCCTAAACCCTAAACCCTAAACCCTAAACCCTAAACCCTAAACCCTAAACCGAAACCCTAAATGCTTGGTCAAGCCCTGCCCATTTCGACGAAACACAGCAAGGCGTAGCACAGCCATTCAATCCACTGCTCAGACTTCGTGCCCCCGCCTCCCATGGCGCAAAAGGCATCAACGGCTGGGAAGACCTGGTAGGACTTCTGTTATTTTGCCGGGACGCCACCTCTGTAGCTACTACTAGCGCCGTTTGCAAGTTGTGGGTGGCGCGCTTTTGCAGCCAAGCGCTGCGTCCTGAACCCTTTTAGGGTTTAGGGTTAAACCGAGCGTCGCTCGTGGGATTGGTTTCTAACCTCGACGGGTTGGACCGCCCCAGAAGCTACATTTTTGTTATAACTGGCTTGTTGTTTTAAAAGAGAACGAGGGAATGAGGCACCCTTGATCCCCCTATACATGTATACATGTTTATATATATATATATATATATACATACCCTTTTAAGGGATTCTGTAGGGTACCTCATTGGATAAGGGCCGGCGCTTGCTTGGACCAAGGCAGTGTCTTGCACCCAATCGAGAAGCTTTCGCTCAGGAGGCACATGCGACACACCATGCTGATGGCATCCAATGAGACACATGATTGCGCCATCCCCTCGCCTGGCCCTAAACCCTAAGCTTGGGGCCCTAAGCCCTAAGCCCGAAACCCTAAGCCCCACCCCCCCCCCCACCCCCCCCCCAGAACCGTTGAACCTTGAAGACTCACAAGGTGGGGTGGTTCTCTGAAGTCCCGATGAAGATTACACCGGCTCCTACAAAGCTTCAAGCGCCCACCCCCCACCCCCCGACACCACACCCATCCTACCCACATAGCATATACTTGGGTCTTGAAGGGGTTCCTATACAGTGGCTTTAGGACCCAAATATGTACTGTATGGGTACATGGACCCTTTGGGATCAATGCTAAGGTTGCTGAGGTCGTAGGCTCTCGACCCGAAGCTGGGTTTAGGGTCTTAAGATTTAGGGGGTTCTGGGTTTGAACCCTAAACCCGCTCTCTAAACCCTGAAAACAAAACTTTCGGGTTCAAACCCGGCACCCTAAACCCTAAACCCTTTTTTTGCAACAGCCCTAAACCCTAAACCCTAAACCCTAAACCCTAAACCCTAAACCCTAAACCCTAAACCCTAAACCCTAAACCCTCAACCCTCCCATGCCCTATAAACCCTGACTAACCCTGGGCTGCCAAGCCAGCACGCTGGCAAGGAGGGCGGGCGGCTTATTGGCCGCGGCCACCTCCGAAGGGCTCCGGTTCCCAGGAGGGTTTAGGGTTTGGGGCTAGGGTTTAGGGTTTAGGGTTTAGGGTTTAGGGTTTAGGGTTTAGGGTTTAGGGTTTAGGGTTTAGGCTTAGGGCTTAGGGTTTAGGCTTAAGGGTTTAGAGGGCCTCGGATTCAGGGCTTGGGGGCCCTGTATCATAGCAACGAGGCCCGCGAATCAACTTGTTCTTTCACCATAAAGCCGGCCCCGGGTTACAACGACACCGAGCTGCCCCACCCTTGGGGACCAAATGAACCCTAAAGTTGGGGTCATATACCCTGTACTACTATAATCCCTGTTAGGGTATATCCCTGTACTACTATATAATCCCTATTATTGCGCATGAACCATAGACCCTTCCAGGGTTCATTTGGTCCTTGAGGACCTGCACCTCGCAAGGGATGTGTAAGCGCCGGGCAAGCACGGCAATGCGCGCAGCTGCGTCGAGCAGCAATGCCAAATTCAGGGTCCTCGGGACATCGGACATCCGTGGAGCTGATGATGTTAACAATTGGGGCTGGTGAACATCACCCACGCTGAACAGTTCTGGGTTCTTTGAAGCCCGGCTATGATTATTTAATTCTTAGGTAACCTACAAACAGAAAGTGGGTACACAAAGAGCCCAATACCCCTTGACTAAGGAATAATTCGACCTTAAATCATAAGGAGCCCTAGATAATTTAAGGTATACATTCCTTGTTTAAGGGTTATTGGGCCCTTTTCGAACCCAACCACCCAAAACACAAACCCCCCACCCTGCAAAACCCCAAACAGAGCCCTTGAGCCAAAAGCGCCCCTTTCGGTCTGCTCCAGAGGTTCAGGGTTAGGGCTTTATAGAATATATGTATACCCCTAAACCCTAAACTCTAAACCCTAAACCCTCTATATATATATATGTACACATACACAGGGCCGATCCGGCCCTATTTTTAGAGCTGAAAGCAGGCTTCTGGGGTCCCAGCATGGAAAGATGCAATCATCCACTCTTGGGGTTTAGGCCTTCTAAACATTCTAAACGCTTGAACAACCCTAAACCCTAAACCCTAAACCCTACACCCTAAAACCTCTATAAACCCTAAACCCTACTGTAAACCCTAAACCCTAGGGTTGAGCAAAATTTGAACCCCAACTCCTCCGCGTCCCTTCCCCTCCCCTCCTACCTGTACGTCTCGGAGCTCAACCGCTTGGGGCCGGCGACGGCGGCTGTTTGGCCTTCAGGTTTACGGCGTTTCGGGGTTTAGGGTTCAGGGTTTCTGGTGACTTGAATTGCAAAATTTGGGGCAAAGCCAGGGCACAAGCGAGTCACATGGGCCCTTTGGAACATCATGAGTTGGGTGAATAGACGGTCCCCCTTACAATGCCAGCCTATGCCTGCAAGGACCCCAAGAGCCCTAAACCAGCCAAAACCCCAAAACTCTAAGTTTAGGGTTTAGGGTTTAGGGTTTTTTATCGCACCCGCATAGTTGGACGGACCACTCCGCAGGGATTAGGGTTTAGGGTTTATAGGGTTTAGGGTTCAACTTTAAAAACCTGAACCCTAAACCCTACACCCTACCTCATGCCAAAGCCAACTTGAATGGTTTTTGTCTCCCCACGGCGCGTGTTCGATGCCAAACTATCCGGTTGGACAGCTTGGCGCAGCCCCGCAGACTTTGCACGGGGCACTAGGAGGTCAGGTTTAGGGTTTAGGGTTTAGGGTTCAGGGTTTAGGGTTTATGGGGTTTAAGGCTTAGGGTTTAGACAGTCAAAGCGGTAGGTAGGGAGGGCCAGGGGAAGGATGTATCAAGGCTTTCTGAAGAATTTCTCCAGGGCCTCTGCAGGTTCAAAAGGTATCATTCTGGGTGGGTTTAGGGTTCAGGGTTCAGGGTTCAGGGTTCAGGGTTCAGGGTTTAGGGTTTAGGGTTTAGGGTTCAGGGTTCAGGGTTCAGGGTTCAGGGTTCAGGGTTCAGGGTTCAGGCTTTAGGGTTTAGGGTTTAGGTTAAGGTTCGACTCGTAACCTTTCACGTGGCTGAGGGGTCATTCGGTTTGTGCCGACCACCCAAGAGGGCTTGAAACAGGTTGCTCAGGAACTAGACCCTAAACACGTTTTTCCCACCCTAAACCCTAAACCCTAAACCGCAAACCCTAAACCCTAAACCCTAAACCCTAAACCCTAAACCCTAAACCCTAAACCCTAAGCACGTTATTCCCACACCTCAAACCGCTTTGAGCCTGCCCCTCAGCCCTAAACGCTTCAGGGCCAATCGACGCCGGCACGCCGCAGGGCTGCCTGCCAATGGATTTAGCAGCAGCGCGAAGGAGTCGCAGACTTGGGGTTGGGTTTAGGGTTTAGGGTTTAGGGTTTAGGGTTCAGGGTTCAGGGTTCAGGGTTCAGGGTTCAGGGTTCGGGGTTCGGGGTTTAGGGTTTAGGGTTGAGTAGTTGGGGGGGTTGGGTCGATCTTGCTGCTGTTTAAAAGGGGCCTTGATGATCAAGGTGACCCTCAAGCAGAACGACCTCTAAACCCTAAACCCTAACCCCTAACCCCTAACCCGTAACCCCTAAACTCTAAACCCTAAACCCTAAACCCTAAACCCTCCTGGAGCCCGAGGACCCCAAAAGCCCTCCACCGGTGCCTTCATCTGGGCCACGGCCCTCTCAGGGGCCTCCTCGCACAAGGCCGACAGGTCAATGGGGCGGACCATCCTCGAGAGGTCCTGATGGGCTTTTAAAGGTCTATAGGGTTTAGGGTTTACTTATCTATTGTATGTGTTTTTTTCTTTTAAGTTTAGGGTTTAGGGTTTAGGGTTTAGGGTTTAGGGTTTAGGGTTTAGGGTTTAGGGTTTAGGGTTTAGGGTTTAGGGTTTAGGGTTTGGCGTTCAGGGTTTAGGGTTTAGGCACCACCTAAGCCCCCTACCTTGAGAACCCAAAAAGGGTTTAGGGTTTAGGGCCTCGGGTCTGAAACTTGGGGTTTAGGGTTTAGGGGGTAGAACCTGCAAAAAGATGGTTTCAGGTTCGTAAGGTAAACCCCAAGCCCTACACGTCTAACCGCATAACACCTGAGAGTGCGCAGGTCATGAAGTTCGAAGCCGCCAAACTAGAAACTCGCATGTTACCTGGCCTGACTGACACCTACTATTTGCTTAAGAACCCCAACAGAATAAAAAACAATCATCCCTATACTACCCTTAATAAGGAAGAACATTTTACATTCTTTGGGGTTCTTAAGCACTTAGTAGATAATGGCTTGGGAGTTGATGTAGATAGACAAATGGTCGACTCATAGAAGTGCTCAGACATATGTGCATGATCAGGCTCTCAGCCCCCCCTCCACCCCATTCAATCCCCGCTGTGTTTGTGGAGATGCATAGGGTTTAGGGTTTAGGGTTTAGGGTTTAGGGTTTAGGGTTTAGGGTTTAGGGTTTAGGGTTTAGGGTTTAGGGTTTAGGGGTTCAGAGATTAGTGTTTGGGTGTTTCCAGATCCCCCAGAACCGAGTCGAAACGGCCTTGGCAAGACTTACGTGGCGGGAGGATGGGATTAGTTCAGCTAAGCTTGGCGTGTTCTGCAGCCGAGCGGCCAGATCGCCGTCGGCGGCGAAAAAACCTGCCAATGGAAACCTCTGAGCACCTACAGTACAAAAACCTCTGAGAACCTACAGCACAAAAGATGGCAGGAAAAGTTGTGAAGTTTGCTTGATAAAGGGGTTGCGTACCGGGCCAGCTGTATAGCACACGCGAGGGGCTCTGGCTCGAGGTTTCTCTCTCTCTATACTTTAGTAGGAAACCCTTTGTTGTCTTCACAGTCTAAAAAGGAAAGCGCTGTTTAAGATTTAGTAGGACATCGTCTACTTTCTCGTTGTTTCATGTAGAAAACCTGTCTTTTCCAAGAGGACACCCTCGGTCTTCTCTCTATTCATTTTTGCGTGTTCTCTATATTTGGCAAATCTCTGCTTCCTCTACATGTACATACTGTGCAGACAGACAGAAGGCAAAAACAAAAAAAGAAACAACATGTCGCTGGCATGACAGGTTTGGAAAGCACTCCCGTGTGTTTTTCAATGCAAGTCCTCTTCATGGGCATATGTTCTTTGCAAAGCACAGTTCGCACACGCATAAACCCTAAACCCTTAACCCTAAACCCTAAACCCTTCAGTCCTCGCCCCTTCGGTCCTTTGTTTCCTCTTCTCCCTCGCCTAACACAAGAGGATGTTATACGAAAAATCCTGCCGATTGCAATGTCGGGGCAATACAGGGGTTTAGGATTAAGGTTTTAGGCTTTCATACTAAAGCATTGAGATTGAGAAAAGAGAGGCTTTCCTACCAAGATATGGGGCAAAAGAAGTTGTCCTATTAAACGCATAATTAGAGGAAATGAAAGAAAAGACCGTTTTCTTATTCTTGCAGAGAGTCAGAGAAACAGCTTGCAGGATATAAGAGCGCCAAAACAACAAATCTCTCCCAAAGAGTCCTAAGAAGCGCGCTATAAGCCTTAAGTAGCCAAAAATGCGCGTCTGCTGGTTTCTGTTCTCAGGCATTTGGGTAGTGTTCTACATTAGGGTGCTGTTTTTGGGTCATAATGCAAGGGTGTCGTACTATAAGTAGGACCCCTGAAAGGAACGCTAACTTAGAGAACTACCCATTTCGCGCGTTCTTAACTCCCAGCGTCCCCAGAAGGCCGAAACCAACGGTCCGGACAAAGCAGTCCCGGCCTAGTTGGCGCAAGAAGTTGCAGGCATCACCCGGCTCACCTAGGTTTGTGGGCACCACCAGGTTTTATGTGGCAGTAGGAGCCCTGGAAGTTTAAGCAAGGATGCTACTTCCGCTGATGATGCAGATAGCGTGACGCAAGAAGGACGTTGAGAGGGGTTTGCAACTCAACTTGGGTTCCGTGGGCCCGTTGAGTTTGCAGGGTGGCCCCGGAATTGGAGGCAGTCCTTCATACATGCCTCTTCCATTTGTGAGGCGCGTTATCTTGAGCTACTTGAGCTACGAACACGTCATCCAGCTTCATTCACACGTCCCTTGTGTCAGGCATGCCCGTAAGCCTAAGCAATTCCACAAGTGTCAACGCATTGTTTCTCAGCCCGCGCGATCCTGAGTGTCGCCTATGCCAGGGACAGTGTGATCATAGTCCCCGATATTTTTTCGACCTTTAAACTGACGATCTGACCCTCTGAGTAGCTTTCAGGCGATTCACTATTGAGCTTGCGCACATCTGTGCCGGTGTCCACAAAGACCGCATTTTCGCTGGTGCGGATCACTTTGCCCTCAAGCACCTCGCCTTCCTGGTAGTCCGAGAGCGGGCGCTTCGGTAGAGATTTCATCGTCACCTCCAGTGGATGCGGACGAAGGGGTGCCCGAAATGGGGGGCTCATGCAAAGCTCAGTGCTTCTTTGGGATGGAATGGGGTTCGGTGGTAGTTATGTTCCTCGAATCGCCCGAGATGCAGAATCGAGCTCTTGCCTAGGTCTCGTGCTCATTCTGTGATCCGTAGTATTTGTAATAGTAAAATAAAATAATACAGCAACTAAGACTAGTCATGCTGATAGTAGTAATACTAGAAATCGTGATAGTATTGATGGTTCTAATGACAATATGTCATAATAGTCATGATAAGCTTCATGAATATCATTGTTACTTCAATACCTGATAGCAGCAGCAATACAGGTAAACACAAAAATGGCGTGCGATGCTCGTTATTGCTGAAAAAGGATTCGTAAGAGTCAGAGTAAGCAGTATGTAACAATATTTGAAATTCGTATGTGTAAACAGTAGGACTATCTAAGAAGAATCGCGCTAGAGTAGTAGTAGTAGTAGTAGTAGTAGTAGTAGTAGTAGTAGTAGTAGTAGTAGTAGTAGTAGTAGTAGTAGTAGTAGTAGTAGTAGTAGTCATAGTAGTAGTAGTAGTCATAGTAGTAGTAGCAGCAGCAGCAGCCATGCGCTCCCCGTGGCGCCTGGTACTTTCTCAGGTTGCTATGCCTAAAACATCGGTATTTGCGACACTTCCTGGCTTCGTTACGTGCGAATGGGCACTGCAAATAACGTGCATGGTTATTTGCAGTGTTGCGTGCACATGAAATTTCATGGAATGCTAAACATCTGTATTTACGACACTTCGTGGCTTCGTTGCATGCGAATGGCCAGAGCATCCATGTCTGCGCGATGATAGCGTTCGTGTTACCAGGGCATTCATGTCCGCGCGATGACAACGCCCGTGTTACCAGAATATTCATGTCCGCACGACGATAACGCCAGTGTTCCCAGAGCATCCATGTCCGCACGTTGATAACGTCCATCCATACCAAATCCTGCCTTTCCCCTTCCCAAAAGTAGTGCACCGAAAAACACACTTTTTGACTCGAAACTGCGAATCCATGGGAAATACCACGCAATTCGGGTGTTCACACATGCAGACAGGCCAGGCGCCTGGGGGTGCGCTAGCCTAGTAGTGGTGGGGGTACCCAAAGACTCAACGGATGCAACGCTGGGAACAAGTGCGCTATTTGATTGTTTTCACAACTCTCTCACCTCCACCCGACCATCATGTCGCCTCACTTCCCTGACCCTGACGTTGATCTGCTGCCCGACACTCAACACATCCTCCACCTTGTCAGTGTAGCCATCACCCAGCTGGCTGATATGAATGAAGGCGTGTTTCCTTCCGGGCAGATCCACCCCGGGCAGACCCAACGTGGCCCCGAACTTGCCCAGCGTCTTGACGGTCGCTGACAAGACCGCCCCAACCTCAAGCTTCTCCGATCCTGCACGCAGCGGAACCCGGCGAAGGCGGGGCAAAGTGCGGCTTCGGCTTGGGCCGACGCCCCCATGGATGAAGCTAGCATCACGTGCAAGGCAGACGATGCCAAACAAGATCAAGAGCCCGGCCGCTCGCGCCATGGCAAGGTCACGACAAGACGCTCCCAGTATTATATGTATATATATACATAATTTATAAACAAATCAGACAAGACTGACTGTAATGGACATAGAGAACAGCCACTGCGGAATTTTAATTTAGTCCTGCACGTGCGGAAGAGATGTGATATCACTCAAACATGACAAGATCCCAATCGTTGCAGTCCTATGTTGTACTCGCTCCTGAATGGCTACATTGCGTTAATCGAGGACCGTGTGCATGTTCTCACTGCCTTCAAACTAGGGGGATCCTAAGGCGACGCCAAAACCCTAAACCCTAAACCCTAACACCCTGAAGACCTCTTTGTTCCTCCGCAAACACCCGGTGAGAAGCGCAAGTGGCCTTTCAAAGGCTACCCTGTGGCAGCGGCGCAGCCCTACAAGCTTGATTCCTTCCTTGGGACATACATGAACCCGAACATTGACCCTGTACCACTAGTAGCCCTAAACCCTAAACCCTAAACCCTAAACCCTCGTAGACCTACTAGGGAACTCCAAGAAGTTGCAGGCAGCACCCGGTCTCACCTGATTTTTGGGTTTAGGGTTTAGGGCACCACCAGGAACACAACAAAAGTGTCAGCAAACTCAAACAGGGTCCCCAGGTTCTCATGAGGGGAGTGCTGTGGAAACGTGACATAACAATCGCAGCCTCCACCCATGCTGCATGGGCCATGCACTAGTTGCAGGAGCTCTTGGGCAAACTTGTGATTTCATCACCGGGCGTATCACTTGGTCGGTTTAATTCGGCAGCGGGAGCCCTGGAGCCCCCCTGGAAGCTTAAGTGAGGATGCTACGGCCGCGGATGATGTAGATAGCGTGACGCAAGAAGGCCAGGGTTTTGTAATTTAATATGAGTTCCTTGGGGCCGTTGCAGGGACAAGCCATCAACAAACCCATAATTGAACCTAGAAAACCCTAACCCTTACCTGCACCCTAAACCCTGTTTTAACCACGGACTTTACCCTTTTTGTATCCAGGCCTCGGACTTTACCCGAAACCCCAAAACCCCCACTTCATGAAGAAAGGCAGCGATTGCAGGGTGGCCCGGGATTTTGCGGCTGTCATTCATACATGCAAGATCCATTTGACGGGTGTGTGGTGTTGAGCTTCCAGCACGTCATCCGTCTTCATTCAACGAAAACGAATAGTGTCAAGCGTCCCTCAGGCATGCCCCTAAGTGATTTCAAACATTGACGGCGGCAGTACTGCCACAAGATTCACGCACTTCTGAGCCCGCTCGATCCTCAGCGTCACCTATGCCAGAGACAGTGTGATCTTAGTCTGCGATGATGTTTCGATCGTTTTGATCTTTACCTTGACGATCTGACCCTCTGAGTAGCTTTCAGGCGATTCACTATTGAGCTTGCGCACGTCTATGCCGGTGTCCACAAAGACCGCATTTTCGCTGGTGCGGATCACTTTGACCTCAAGCACCTCGCCCTCCTGGTAGTCGGAGAGCGGGCGCTGCTCAAACTGTGGCAGGGATCTCATTGTCACCTCGAGTTGACCGTGGACGAAGGGAGACATGGGGGGGGGCTCATGCAAAACTCAGTGCTTCTTTTGGGAGGGAATGGGACTCGGTGGTCACTACCTTCCTCGTATCGTCCGACAAGCAGAATCGACTTCTTGCCTAGGGCTCCTTTTCTATTTCCGTGATCCGTAGTAGTGAACAGAATATACAGCAACGAATATTATGAATGCTGATAGTAGTAATACTAGAAATCGTGACTGTACTACTAGTTATAATCACAGCATGTCATAATAGTCATAGTAACCTTGATGTATCTCATATATACTAAATAATTAGCAGCAGCAGCAGCAGCAGCAGCAGCAGCAACAGCAGCAGCAATAAAGGTGAAAACAAACATACTATGCGATGATGGTAATTGATGAAAGCGGAGCCATAGTATAGCAAAACTACATAGTATGTAGCAATTAGGAATGATGTTTAAACAGTAGAAAGCAATAAATAGCAAGTAACAACTAGCAAGTGGCAAGTAGCAAGTGAGAAGTAGTAAGTAGCTGGCAGAAGTAGCAGCAGTAGTGGCAGCAGTAGTAGTGTGTTGTTGTTGCTGTTGCTGTTGCTGTTGCTGTTGCTGTTGCTGCTGTTGCTGTTGCTGTTGCTGTTGCTGTTGCTGTTGCTGTTGTTGTTGTTGTTGTTGTTGTTGTTGTTGTTGTTGTTGTTGTTGTTGCTGTTGCTGTTGCTGCTGTTGCTGCAGGGCTAGCTAGCGGCTCGGCTCGTCAGCATGCACAGCGAACCAAAACGAAACCAGCGATACACCAACGGCCTCGTTGGGACTTCGGACCGGGAGCCGCCTCCTTCAGCGCCAAGGCAGTAGCTAGCAGCCGACCGAACCCAAAGTGGTTCCCGTACACATCCTGATAAGGCAGTGAGTCCAAGAGTCCAATGCAAAACGCTGTTGTGGCTGTTGCTTGTGCTGGTGGTGCTGGTGGTGCTGCTGGTGGTGCTGGTGCTGGTGCTGGTGCTGGTGCTGGTGGTGGTGCTGGTGGTTCTGCTGGTGGTGGTGCTGGCGGTGGTGCTGGTGCTGGTGGTGGTGCAAGTGGTGGTGCTGCTGGTGGCGCTGGTGCTGGTGCTGGTGCTGGTGCTGGTGCTGGTGCTGGTGCTGGTGCTGGTGCTGGTGCTGGTGCTGGTGCTGGTGCTGGTGCTGGTGCTGGTGCTGGTGGTGCTGGTGGTGGTGCTGGTGGTGCTGCTGGTGCTGGTGCTGGTGCTGTTGCTGGTGCTGGTGGTGCTGGCGGTGATGGTGGTCGTGATGGTGGTGCTGGTGGGGTGGTGGTGGGGGTGGTGGCGGTGGTAGTGGTGGTGGTGCTGCTGCTGTTGCTGCAGCAGCAGGTGTAGTTGTAGTAGAAGTAGTAGTAGCAGCAGTCACAGCAGCCGTCGTTGTCGTTATCGTCGTCGTCGTGGTTGCAGCAGTTCGAGTTGTATGTAATCGTTCTAAGCATGGTAGGTGTAGACCCAAAGGCCAGGATAGCAAACGATTGGGACCAGATGACGAAGAGACCAAAAACAGACGAAAGGCCCCAGTCTACTATTTGCAAAGTTGTGCGTGCCCCAAGAAAAATCAAGACTGTGCCTCGAACAAGGCATGAAAAAGACCCAATGCACAGGTTTTGTCATTTTTGTCGAATCAAACCCTAAACCCTAAACCCTAGACCCTAGACCATAAACCCTCAACCCTCAATCCTCAACCCTCAACCCTAACCCAGAGACAACACTCATGCAACCCTGAACCCTAACCCAGAGACACCACTCATGCAGGGTTTGGAACAAGTGCGCTGTTTTTTTCACAACTCTCTCGCCTCCACCTCATGTGGCTTCACTTTCTTGATCCTGACGTCGATCTGCTGCCCGGCACTCAACACATCCTCCACCGTGTCAACGTAGCCATCACCCAGCTGGCTGACATGAATCCAGCCGGGTTTCCCCCCAGGCAGATCCAACGTGGCCCCGAACTTGCCCAGCGTCTTCACGGTCGCTGACAAGACCGCCCCGACCTCAAGCTTCTCCGCACGCAGCGGAACCCGGCGAAGGCGGGACAGAGTGCGGCTTCGGCTTGGGCCGAAGCCCCCATGGATGAAGCTAGCATCACGTGCAAGGCAGACGATGCCAAACAAGATCAAGAGCCCGGCCGCTCGCGCCATGGCAAGGTAGCGAGAGGCAAAGATGTTCCCAGTATATATGTATATATATATATATATGTATTAATAACTAAATAAAAAAATATACATATATATATATATATATGTACGTACAAATCGAAGACGCTGACTGGCATGGACATAGAGAACAGCCAGTGGGGGGGCTTCAAACTAGTCCTGCATGTGCGGAGGATATGTGATATCATTCAAACTTGACAAGAACCCCACTCGTTGCAGTCCTATGTTGTACTCGCTCGTGAATGCCTACATTTCGTTAATCGAGGACCGTGTGATAGAACTAGAGCACGCAACGCGCACAAGCTGTGGACGGATCCTGAGTCTTCAGGCGATGCAGCACACCCAAAGAGCCCAGTACCCCTTAAAAACGGCATATACCTTAACCGATATCAAGGATCCCCATATGATTTAAGGGACATTCCTTAATTAAGGGGCATTGGGCTCTCTGGGCACAAACCCAACACCCTGAAGATCTCTGACAGTCGATCTGTCTCGTTCCTCTGCAAACTCCCAGCGAAAAGTAAGCCTCCCCTGTGGCAGCCGCAGCACTACAAGGCCTGGTTGGAAGAAATGAGCCCGAAAATTGGGATCACATACCCTCTGCTACTCTAACAGCTATCAGGGAATATGAACCACCTAAACCCTAAACTTAAAAACCCTTTTAGGGCTCACAATTGCTCTTCACAAGGTTTCCGAGCAAGCGATGTTCTGAAGGCAGCCGAGCTGCGCATGTATTGCGGTGACCTCTCCACACTTCGCACCACGTAGCTCAGCATAGACGTCCTGAGGGTTTAGGGTTTAGGGTTTAGGGTTGGGTGTAGGGACCACTCCAGCATTCCATACCTGTGGTAGGTCTGGGGGCCCTAAATATTCTGTTCAAAGCTACCCCTGATACAAGTATCACCAGACAGCCTAAACGCAGTAAGCCAGAAGATCCGCTTCTTTCTCGGGGGCTTCCATGCGTCTGGAGCTCCTTCATTCAAAGCCCCACACCTCGAGGACCAAACGAACCCTAAAATTGGGGTCATGTACCCTATACTATACTATACTATACTTCCTGTTCAGGGTATATGAACCGTAAACCCTTTTTCGCGTTCCCCAAGGTCTACATTGCCTCCGAGCGGCACGCACTCTTCCACCGCCGGCCCAGTCGCGCGAAGGTCGTGGAAGGCTTTGGTGATCACCTCGGTGGTCGCTCGGGGCTTCAGACTGGTGGGCTCATTGGGCTCAGGCTCCGGGGTCTTGCAGGAGCTATAAAGACAAATACATATATACATATATACATAAATATGCACATATAAAAATATATATGTATATAAATATATAAACATATAAATATATAAATATATAATTTATTACATGTATGTATATATAGTCACAAAAATCCAGAGACGCCTCTCACGTCCCATAGGATATGGGGTTCCGTCATGTTTGCACCTCAAATTTAGCACCTCCACCCTCTGGGACGAGAACCAAGAATGAGCCCTATGAAAGCACTCACCTCCTTGGGGACCAAACGAACCCTAAAAGGGTTCGGGCAAAATTTAGGGCTCATATTCCCTCATAGGAACTATAGCAGTGTAGGGCATATGACCCCAATTTTAGGGTTCATGCGGTCCCCCGGGCCCGACCCCTCTTGTGGCAGTGAGGTGCTGTGAGCGACCCAATCCGGAAGGCGTCTGCTGGCACTTCGCCTTTGGGTCGCTGTTTGATCAGCAAAGCCAGGCAGATCCACAAGGAACATAAGCACGAAGCGCCCAAGACAACTCACAGAAGGAATGTACCTTGAAACGATATCGGGAACCTGACTCTGATTTAAGGTCTCTTCTTGAATTAAGCGGTAGTGGGCTCTCTGGGAAGGTTTGAGCCCGAGATGGGGATTTCATGTGCTCCAAATGCCAGGAACCATTGTCTCCAGCACATCCCATTCGAATCCTGAACCGTAGCTCTTCCCCCTGCTGCTAAGAAGCCATTATATGGGGCACCTCTTTACCTCGTTCCCCACGAAGAAGGCCCTATACATACCCTTTAAGGGAGTACATAGGGTACCTCATTCCCACGTTCCACACTCAGAACCGGCCAGCTCTTCGGCAAAGGGGCTTCCGTCCCTGCAGGTGTACGAGAACAGAACCTCAGGGGGCACAGTTACGGTTTAGTGTTTAGGGTTTACGGTTTATAGAGATTGTCTAGGGTTTGTGTTCGGAGTTTTGCCGGGTTTTGCTTTTTGCTTTTGCTGAAATTGGGGCTTCCTGGTGCCTTTTGGGGCTCCTGGTGCCTTTTGGGGCCTCCTGCGGCCTTTTGGGGCTTGCCGGGGCCCTTAGCGGCCTCCGTGGGCTTTTTGGTGTCTGGGACCTTGTGGGGCCTTCTGGGGATTTCTGGGGGCTTGGGGCTGGGGCTGGGGTTGCGCTTGCAGTTTTTTATGGCATCCTTCGGACTTATTTTCTCGTTTCTTGCTGGTGCCTGAGAGTCATGCTTTTTTTGGTCTTCTTTTTTTGCACTGTGAAGGATGAAGGCTTATTGTACGAGCTGCTCGTGATGAAACGCATACAATTTCTATTTAGCCTGGCGTTGAGGGTTTAGGGTTTAGGGCCATTACTGTGCAGCTCGTTTCCCCGTCTGCTGGGTCAAACTTGGGTAACTCGAAACAAGGAGACCACAACCATCTACACATAGACATCTGTGTATATGCCAAAGTACATTTACACATACCGATCGGTCTGCATGCCGAGAAGCATGCGTGTCTGTCTTCGGGTAGGACGGGTCATGGTTGTCCAGCAGCCGCGGAATTCCGCGACAAAACCCTTCAAGCACCCTGGAATTCCAGTGCTTCCGCTTGCTGTAGGCAATCCTGCGCGCGAGGAACTCAAAACAGGGTTCTTAAGGGCGGGGCCTTCAAGGGGGGGTAGCTACCCAGGAACCTTATAGAATAGTGGGGAGCGTTCGGGAACCTCGGGTTACATACCCCTAAACCCTAAACCCTAAACCAAGAAAGACTGACAGTGTCACTACTTCCTTAGACCATGTCGGGCAGCCTGGTCCTCCAAATCCTGCTATAGGGTTCAGGGTTTATGGTTTAGGGATATAGAGAAAACCATGACTCCTCGGCACCACTCTACACCTCATTGGTCCAGTAAACTAAGGGAACTAAAGGTTATAACCTTTGGGATTATCTCGGGAAGACAATGCCCCAAGACAAGTTCAAGGCTACCTACTCCAAACCCCAAACCCCGAACCCTACACTGCCACTAAGATACTCCATAAATTGCAATACCCCAAATTGAGTTAAAGCTTACCTACTCTAAACCCCAAACCCTACACTACTAAGATGCTCTATACTATACTGATCCTGGAACCATAGCAAAAACTATAACTCTAGCTGTTTCTTAGGAAGTATAGTGCCCAAAAAAAAGCAATCCCAATCCCGAAGTATAAATCTTGGGAATTATAGTACCCAAAAATTAGCAATTATTCCCAAAAAATCTCGAAGTATAAACCTCCGCCCGCCGGCGGTCATGGAGTTCTGGAAGTTTCGGGGCGCCAGCGAGCGCAAACGATTCGGTCTGTAGAGCTCCTACATGACAGGCTGGCTCTTAGTAGGGAATGAGGGGTTTGGGGTTTAGGGTTTAGGGTTTAATGAGCTGGATTCCCTCATTCCCTACTAAGAACCAGGGGAATGAATGAGATCAGGGCTTAGGGTTTTTGGGGTTTGTTTCGGCTTCGCTGAAAGCTTCGGGCGTTCGGGCTTCGGAATTAAAGATGGGCTGTGGGCCCTAAACCCTAAACCCTAAACCCTAAACCCTAAACCCTAAACCCTAAACAGAACATTGCACACAGGAGACCTGGGCCGAGAGTTCGAAAAAGCGGTCGTGTCGGAACTCCAGTTTGGAGAAGTTCCACAACATGGTGCCTCAGCCCAACATGCAACCTTGGTTGAGGGCTTAGACTTCGGTATTCCTACGACATGCTGCCGTCAAAGTGCAGCGCGACTCGGTTCTAGTGTACATCACCCACGCCATGTCCCGTGCCCTGCATTTTGCTTGTAGGCAAGGCCCTGGTGACCCAACACGTCAAGGACCCCAACAGCTTCTCCTCAGAATGACATGCGTGACATGCCCCTTCCCTTAGCTCACGGCCGAGGGAGCAGCGGTCGAGCGAAGGGAGCCAGCCTCACCACAGGCTTGCGAATGCTCTGACCGAGAAACTTCCCGAGTACCCCACTACTCTTCCTCAGGCTCCCTAAGCTTCCCTAAGGTTCCCTAGGTACCTACCCCGCTTGAAGCCCCCTCCCTTAAGAACCCTATCAGCAACTGCCAGGGGCCAGGGTTGCTGATGTTGCTGGAAAACGCCCCCCGGTTGAGGGGATTAAGGGCTCGGGGCTCCTGAAGGACCACATGAACCTTGGGAGGGTTTATGGGGTTCATTGATCCCTTATAGGGATCATAGTAGAATGGGGTAGATGACCCCCCAATTTTAGGGTTCGTTTGGTCCCCAAGGCTTGGGATTTCTGCAGCTCGTTGGGCCACAAGTTGACTGACAGATCAAGGGCCACACCTCACGAAACCTGGTAAATGCATTCAGCCCACCTTAACTTAGCGCACTGAAATCCAAAACCCTAAACGCCCCTAAGCCCGAAACCCGCAACTCAGCTGCGTTGTTGTGTTCCAACTTTGGCATGGCTTGCATCGGGGATAGTGCCAGTTGCCGAACAGCCCTATAAACAGACCCCCCTACCTTAATAGCCAACCTACCTTTCTTTGAAGAAGCCCTTCATAGAATTCTTAGGTAAAACCCTAAACCCCTGTTGCTATACAGGCTTTTGTTGTACAATCCTCTGTAGGCTTCCTTCGGCAACCTACCTACGTTACAACTAGATTTGGTGCTCTCACGGTCAACCCCCAAGCACTTGTTTGGGACCAAATGAGCCCTAACATGGGGATCATGAACCCTATACCACTATAATCCCTGCCAGGGTACTTTTTTCCCTCCTGCAAGGGTGTTGAGGGTTTAGGGATATGAACCATACACCCTGAATCCTGAATCCTGAACCCTAAACCCTAAACCCCTTTTAGGGTTCATGTGGTCCCCAAGGGGTGGACTGGACATGGCGGCCTTTGCAAAGATGCTCGGCGACTGCGTGAAGCAGCTCACGGTGCACCACCCCTGGAACAAACTGGGTATAGGGTTTAGGGGTTTAGGGATTAGGGGTTTAGGGGTTTGGGGGTTTAGGGTTTTAGGGGTTTAGGGTTTAATCGCTCACGCTCGCACAAGCCAGGTGAGGCTCACGCTGTCCCAAAGTCGCTCCATGACAAAGCAGGGTTATAAGTACCGTGAACCTGCAAGTACTGGGCCAAAGTGATACACCCTAAACCCTAAACCCTAAACCCTAAGCCCTAAACCCTCAGGGCTTTTTGCCCTAAACCCTTTTTGCGCCAGGGCTCTCTCAAACCGTAAACCCTACAAGCACATATCATTCCTTCGGGGTTTGGCGGGCCTTGACGGGTTGAGACCCTAGACCCTAGACCCTAGACCCTAGACCCTAGACCCTAGACCCTAAACCCTAAACCCTAAACCCTCGGCAGCTTTAACGGAAGGCCAAGCTGAATCGAGCAGCACTTGGAATGTTCTCAAAGTCTAAGCGCGCAACTTTGCAATTCGTTTAGGGTTTAGGGTTTAGGGTTGAGGGTTTAGGGTTTAGGGTTTAGGGTACATCAAAGTCACAACTGTTGCAGTTGCTCTCCTGCCCGCACGTAGGTCCAGACGAAGTAGGTCCTTGGTGATTCCAAACCCCCTATAAGCATCAGGAACCTCGCAGCCCTGAAGCTACTCTCACGAACCAAGAAAAGGAGAACATAATCGCACAATATTTTGATGCAATACTTTTTGGATATACTACCACAAGATGATGGCTGATATGATACAAGAACCACTAGCTTGCAGTATTGTAAGCAGCTCTCTGAAAGGCCAAGCCGCAGGTTGATCGGGTGCATCTTGTCTAGCCTCGCCCCCGGCACCCTCTGGGTTTAGGGTTTAGGGTTTAGGGTTTAGTCAAACACAGGGGCGGAGCTTGACAGCAAGATGCACGATGGCATGCCCAGAGAGCCCAAGACCCCCTTAATTAAGGAACATACCTTAATCTTAGAGGGATCCGAAGTATCATGGGGATCCTTAATATGGTTTATTAAGGTATATAATCCTTATTTAAGGGGTATGGGCCTCTTTGGGTGCCTTCGGTACGCACGCACGTCTGCATTGGGAGCTTACGGGCAGTGGGGGGAGAAGATACTTTCTCGTGTGAGAGCACGGCGGCGACTCCTGGTGGAGCTCTCTTTGCAACATCCGAATCCGCAAGCAGAGGCTTCTCTCGTGACAACGCCAACCTGTAGGAGGGGGTTTTGGGGTTAGGGTTTGGGGCTTAGGTAACTGCAGGCCAGAATGCAACCAAGATGCCGCTTGCACAGCAGCCGTGTGCAGGCCTCGAAAAACTCATCGTCTGCGAAGAGCTGCCGACTGGCCTGACATGGGGGTTTACGATATTATGGGGGTACCTTAAGGTCCTTGTTATAAGGGGATCCTACGATTTGGGGGGTCTATATATTGGGGGCCCCTTATTATCGTAAACCCCCACATAAACCCCCTTGTGACCCCACGCGTCCAGACAGTTCCAAGTTCAATCCACCTGGGGTCTGTGAGGGAACTTGGGCTTACTCGGTTCACTTACAAGTTACAAGTATGGCAACTATACACCATATAATTGCTACTTGTAGAATGGCTTGCGCTGGAAGGATCCATTCCTACCCACCTACTTTCCCTAAACCCTAAGCCCTAAGCCCTAAGCCCTAAGCCCTAAACCCTAAACAAAACCCTAAACCCTAAACCCGAAGCCGCCTCGAAGTCTGAGCCTTCCTTGGGAACCACTTGAACACTAAAATTGGGGGCTAGAACTTGGGATGTTCCCCCTTAGACTAACAGTCCTTGCTAGGGATTGATAGGAGGGGGGGTACTATAATCCTTACTAAGGACTTTTCGTATAAGGGGGAACATCCCGAGTTATATACCCTACTACCATAACTCCTACTAGAGTACATGAACCATGCTTCCCTGCAAGTACACGCCCTTGCCTCTGCGTCGGCACTGAAGAAGCTTTTGGAGTTTCCTCCGGAGTCTTTGTTCTTGTCCGCGCTATCTTTCCCGCCGAAGAACCAGAAGCATCGATACTGGTAGTCATGCCAGGACCTTAGTTGCTGAGTTCATAAGCTCCCAAAAAGTGTACACTTTCAGTTTTATAAGGGGATTGTAGTATCCCAAAACGTGGAAAGTATGCTGATTCAGCTACTAAGGGACAGCACGCGGGGCAGCCACGTCTCGAACTCGAAGCACGCACGCCGGGCCAGCTCCTCTGCAGAGAAGCCAAAGTCGGCAGCATGCCCCTCCTTCATGATGGACTTCCTCGGGGTCTATTGGTACACAGAGAACCCACTATTCCCTTCTGAAGGAAGATACCTTGAATCATATTAAGGATCACTGTATAACTTAAGGTTCCTTTTTATATAAGGGGTATTGGGCTCTTTGGGTAAGGGGGTTCACGCAAATGCGCGCCGATGATGAAGTGGAGTTGCATTTCATAACACTTGCATGCCGTGCCGCCTCAAGCCCGTGAGCCCCAAACCTCTACTTTTTTCTTCAGGTTTCTAAGTTTCACTAATTATATGCAAGGTTGCATATAAGCCTCCGACGATTCTTAGGTCACCTGAAAAAAGCTTCGGGCTCTGCTTTAAGGTGATGAATCCATAAAGCTGAGTCACAGCTCTGGTGGCGTGAAGGTCCAGACGGGGCCCTCCTGTGAGAATTCGTTGCTGGAATCCACAGGCACGAGGGTCGGTTCGCCTGCAGGCTGCTCCCACGTTGTCTCATCAGTACGATGGTTGTACCAGTACGCTTCACAGTTCACTTGGGGATGGGCCATTCTTTCTATCCAGCCGTCCGGCATCACGCGCGTGGTTCGCGAGTTCCAGTCCCAGTATGACTGGAACTCTTCTTCAGATCCACCGTCTAGGCTCATCTCTGGCAGAGGGCACGCATGGTCATCCGCATTCGGGACATCTGCCGACACAAATAAATAGTGGTGCAGCTGGCCAGTGATCCGCTCGGTACTGGTGATGCCGTTGGTGCACTCCAACCGCGATGAACCTCGCAGATGTTCAGAGCTTGTTAGCTGTTAGCTGCTACCATCAAAAACCAGCACCTCTCTGTGTTGCAACATCGGCATGTGCTGGTAGCGCTTGCAGGTGGAGGGGCCTAAACTCTCAGCCTTATGAACCAGCCCTTCTCAAGCCTACTTGAGCCCCAAACCCCAAACCCCAAAACTGACTTGCCCAGCTTCTCACGAAGGCTAAGGATGACTCTTGGAATTGAGGGTTTAGGCCTTACAGGGTTACCGGGTTTAGCACCCAACAAACACTAAACACACGTATGGCTGGTTCTCTAAAGTCGGGGGCCCGTTTTGAATCCCCTATATAGTCTGGCACCTTATAAAAAGGACCCCGAAAAGGAGCCGTAATCTAGAGAACCAGCCTAAAACCTAAACCCTAAACCCGTATGTGCCCGAGCATCCCTCCCGCTGAGGCGCCTAGTCCGCAGCCAGCGTCAGAATCCCGGTGCCGCGCTCCAGAGACCTCTGGGAGCTTCGTGATCTATCGCATCCCACGTAGAGAGCCCAATTAGGGAACGTACCTAAAATCACCTAGGGGTCCTGAATGTGGTTTAAGGTAAATTCCGTTTTTAAGGGGTATTGGGCTCTTTGGGTACAAAGCGTTTTGAACGAAGTCTGCTCAGCCCGAACCCTAAACCCTAGTAGGGTTTAGGCCGTTTGTGCGGGAGATGGGATGCTGCTGGGGATATTCAGAGTGATCTATCGGGTCAGGGCGAATATCGGAACTCTACAGTTCGTATAGAGGCCAGTGTTTATCTTTTTGTTTTGCCATGTCTACGGTATGGTTCGCGTGTGTGTAATCCTGAAAAGGGTGCAACAGTGAGATCATGTTGAATGCTGTTTGGTGTCATCCCCCCCCCCTCCCCCTGCTCTCCCCGCAGTTGTGCTCCTTGGCTGCAAATCGATTCAACTCCCAAGCATTGCTGGCATCACGTGGCATCATGTTCATACTCCTTGTTCAGGCACTCTTGGACATGATGGCTCAATACCCAAGCCGCCAGACCCTATAATCTCCGAACTCCTAAAACGTTCTCCAAACCCCCAAACCCCGAAAAGCTCCCCAAAACCTCTTAAAAAAATCCCCTAAACAAACTCCTACCCCCCCCCCCCCCCCAAAAAAAAAAAAAGAGAGTAAACACCCAAAAACTTACTGATGGCTTTTTTCCGACTAAAGAAGCCAAGGCGGCCCAGGTCCGCCGGCCAAGAGCTCCCAGTCCGCCCTTGGGCCGGGAGTAGTAGGAAGCCACCTGACCTGGGCGGTAGGGTTTAGGGTTTAGGGTAGGAAGCCACCTGACCTGGTAGGATTCGGGAGGATTAGGGGTTTGTAGACTTTAGGGTTTTGAGTCTCACACTCACGCACGCGCAGGCAAGGCTCCAGTAGGTTCTATCCGAAAGACGCACCGACACATTCGTTGGCTCATCCTAAAACCACAGGCAGAAGGATTTTCGGGTTTAGGGTTTAGGGCACTCACCTCCATCCACCAAGCGGAATGAACAACAGTATGCTACGAGCACTTCCGCCACCCAAACCCGCCTAACCTGCTTTTAGGTTTGAGGGTGGGCTTTGACAAAGCTTGGAGTTCAGCAATTTCGCAGGTTCGCCGAGGTACACTGCCGGAAGCCGGGCCATTCCCAGCAGACGCAGCCAAAATACGGGTTTAGTGTTTAGTGTTCAGTGTTTAGGGTTTAGGGGGCGAGGCAAAGTGGCCAAACTTTCTGATGCAGCCCAAGCTACCTTCGTCTTCCAGGTCGACGGGAGACGTCACATCCCAGCCTGCGTTTCGTGTTAGGATTTGGGGCTGAGGGTATCCCTGAACCCCAAGGAGATCTTCGCTATCATGGGCTCTCTGGCAGCCGTATGCCCCCCTGATGATCATTAAGGTGGTCTCTCACACACATAAAAGGCTTCGGCCCGAAGCAAAAGCACCCCGGGACCAGCCCCAAAGCCTTTTCAGAACCCTTAACTAACTATTTGATTTAAGGTTCCCAAAGATCCCTGACGCCTTAAGGAACATACCCTAAAGTTTAAAGTATATCCTGAAAATGATTTAAGGTATTCCCTAATTAAGGGGCATGGGACTCTCTGGATTTAGGCTTCGGGTTTTCCAGTCATAGCCTCCAGCGAACAAGCACCTGAACGCACTCGGACAATTGGTAGGGGATAGGATTAGGGGGACCCTTGGGGATATAGACCCTCTGAATAAGGTCCCTGCTTAAGAGAGCCAGAAGAGGGTTCAGAAGGGGTTCCCTTTTTTGGGTCCCCCTTATCCTACCTATTGCTGGTAGGTCCTCGATGGAGGGTCGCCGGAGCCATGTTCCCAGCGCGGGCACATGGCTGTCGAAGAGTTCGGAGTTGCGTCCCTAAACCCTAAACCCTAAACCCTAAACCCTAAACCCTAAACCCTAAACCCTAAACCCTAAGCCCATTTCCGCGGTTCGTCTCCGAGCCTTGGGGGTCGTGGGAGGGCGTTGAGCTTGAAGGTCGCAAGTTGCGTTGAGATCCAAAAGGGGGCGGACAACAGCCCACAAGCTCCAGACCGGAAGCCTGATTGTGGAGTTAGGGTTTAGGGTTTAGGGTTTAGGGTTTAGGGTTTAGGGTTTAGGGTTTAGGGTTTAGGGTTTAGGGCTAGGACCTGTTGAGATGCTTCCGAGAAGATGGAGCCCACGTGGCGGCGCGACAACTCTTCATAACACCCTCGTAAGGCACATTTCGACAACTCGGAGTGCGGTTTGTTTGGAACAGCCTTGCACCTTGGCAGTGCCCCGAAACTAAGGTCCAAGCCGGGACGTCCCAAACCCTAAACTCCCTAAACCCTAACCCTAAACCCTAAACTACCCAAAGCCCTAAACCCCCCCAAAACTCCGAAACACTATGTAAGAGGCCCTGAGGTCTCCTGGGCTGCTTGAACCCTAGAGGCCATAAGCCCGACCTGACTTGCAAGCATTGAGCCCTTCACTACCTGTCTGACATGGAGTCATCCGTATCCCTGCCACCGCAAAAACCCTGAACCCTAAACCCTAAACTTCCTCAACCCTAAATTCCAAAACCCTAAAGCCTAAAACCCTAAACCCCTAAAACCCAATTCCATCCTAATCCCCCTCCCCCGCAAATGTGCTGGGCCCCGGCAGACGTGGGCGCAGGCGGCCACCACGAAGCAACGGAGGGCGCCCAGGGTCGGGAAGCCTCCAAAGAGGGAGGCGCTGCCCCAAAGGACCTGCACCGCGGTACAAGGGATGTGCACACAGACAGGGTTTAGGGTTTAGGGTTTCGGGTTTCGGGTTCAGGGTTTCGGGTTTAGGGTTGATTTAGGGAACCCTAAACATCCCGAGCCCTAGAGCTTCATGGGGAAGATCCGAAATGTTTTGAGCTTTGCCACTCAAGCGCCTGGTGGAGGCTGGTCACGAAGTATCCCACCTGGGCATGCAGGACGATCGTCTGAGCGTTCTCTCCAAGGAAACCTTGAGCCCCGAAGCTCTTCGTCTGATAGGATTTCGGATAGGGTTTGGGTTTGGGGTTTGGGGTTCGGGGTTCGGGGTTCGGGGTTAGGGGTTTGGGGCTTGGGTTGGGGTTTGGGGCTTGGGGTTCAGGGCCTCTGTGGCAGAATTTTTCTCTCACCTTTGTGTAGGCTCGGGTGACAGACCAGAAGCTTGCCAAAGCCAAAAGTCGAATCTTCCCTCAACCCTAAACCCTAAACCCTAAACCCGACCCAGGGACGGCCAGAAGCGTCAGAAGCCAGCGGCGACCCTTCTCCTGAGGATGCTTGCACAGCCGGGAGCTCAGGCTTATAGGGTGTGTATGAGCATATATAGGGCTTGTAAAGGTTTATGATGGGGTTTACGCAGGGTTTATATATGGTTTTTATATAGGGTTTACTTAGGGTCGATACAGGGTTTATGATGGCGTTGATGGAGAGGGTTCAAGAGCTCCCTTTCAGTGTAGGATGGTCAATGAAGCGCACCTCGCAACGTGGTACGCACACCTCTGCTACAGGCCCAGCCTGCCGCTATGCGCCAGAGCAAATCAACTCTCCTACTTGGAGGTTCAGGGTACTTATAACCCAATGATAAACATGTGAGGTGTCCTTAAGGAGATTATGATTGGGAAAACAAGTACGGTTGTAGTCGGATAATAAGTACCAACCTCCAAGTACTTAAGCACTGCAGAAGTCCTAAGCCCACTCAGAAGCATCGGAAAACTCACAGCCCAAATGCCTTGCGAAGCCAGAAGCTTCCCGCCGAGTCTCCCTAAACCCTAAACCCTCAACCCTAAACCCTAAAAGCCGAGTCTCTGCGCTCAGAGCCATCTTAAAGGTGGGAAGGCCCTCCTTCTGCAAGGTTCCTTGGCATCGCGATGCCCCTAGTTTGGAAGACCTGACATTGGGAGTTTACCCAACAGTGTTTACGGTTTAGGGTTTGGGATCAAAGCTCCACCCTAAACCCTCAACCCTCAACCCTACCAGGTAGGGCCAAGCAAGCCTTCCCTACAAACCTCCCCTACAACCTTGTGCAGAGGCTTCGCCCTAAACCTCTGCACTCCCCTGTGTTTCCTCCGTCGTGCAAGGAGCCGAGCCACACGAAATTCTCAGGGTCTGGACTGGGCTTAGGTTGGGATGCTCCCCCCTATACTAACAGTCCTTAACAGGGGTCATCGTACCGCCTATCAGAATCCCTACTAAGGACTGCTGGTAGACCGGGGAACATCCCAAGCTTTAGGGTTTAGGGTTTACGATTTAGTCGGTTTAGTGTTGCCACCTGAGCCGCTCCTTCATGCCTTCAGCCCTGCATAAACCCTTTGTTTGCAGCAGGCTCTAAACCCTAAACCCTAAACCCTAAACCCTAAACCCTAAACCCTAAACCCTAAACCCTAAACCCTAAACCCTAAACCCTAAACCCTCCTAAGCAGCCTTTCTAAACACGAGAGACACCTTGGGGCACCGGACCATAAGCCGCCCGGCAGCCAAAGGAGGAGACGATCAGAATGGGCACCTGCAGGTTGCAGGGAGTTCAGGGTTTAGGGTTTATAGGGTTTAGGGTTTAGTGTTGAGGGTTTAGGGTTTAGGGTTTAGGGTTTAGGGTTTAGGGTTTAGGGTTTAGGGTTTAGGGTTTAGGGTTTAGGGTTTAGGGTTTAGGGTTTAGGGATGTTCAGGGTTTAGGGTTTGGGGTTTAGGTGATCCTGATTATAAGGCGGCCCCTCTTATTTAGGGTACCAACATAGTGAGGAACATTTAGAGAACTGACCACATGTACTTGGAGGTTCATGGGTACTTGTAACCCCAATTATACGTCTGCGTATAGCCTACTTAGAGGACTTAGGGGGACTTGGGGCTCTTGTAAGTACAGCTCGCATTGGGTTAACAAGTACCCTGGACCTCCCAGTCGGGGTTTAGGGTTTCGACTCCGGCGAAGTTGACCAGCTCCGGAGAGCCCCAATACCCCTCAACTACTTGGAGGTTCATGGTACTTACTAACCAATTAGAACTGGGCTTATAACCCTACTTATAATTGGGATAACCCCTATAAGGCTCTTTAGTGGTATTATAAGTAGGGTTATAAGTACAGTTATAATTGGTTAGTAAGTACCATGAACCTCCAAGTAGCTTTCACTCCACTGTCGCCTAAGCAAAGCACGACAGCAGTAAGGGGACCTGCTGGTGAACTTCTTGCGAGTCCAGAAAGCCGCATGCACACCCTAAACCCTAAACCCTAAACCCTAAAATGTGTCTTTCACGGACCGGCTCAAAAGCTGCAGGCCAGGCAACGTTTCAATCCGGCATGGAGGTTTACAGGCTAAAGAGGGGACATTCAAAAAAACAACCGCAACGGGGCTGAAAATGGGCCGCGCAGCTCAAAAGTTCTTGAGCAAGCTTCACGAGTCATGACTTTTCGGGGACTGGTGGTGTGCGCTGGGTTGGTGGTTCGTGCCTATAGCGCCTTGCACGCAGTCGCTAGTCCCTGGCGACGCAGGTGCTGCGCCATCTGCCTGAAAATGAGCGCGAGAACTGTCCTGGGAGGAAGCATCCCGAACCGAACCCTAAAACAAATTAACCTGCAAGGCCTGTGCCAGGAGGAGGGCTTCCTCTCGAAGCCTTAGCCACCAAGAGGGTCACCTGGTTCTAGTGCATGGTTGGGATAATATTAAAATATTCAAATTGTTATTCCTTGTAGGGTTTAAGTACCCTTAAAAATGTAAGATAATACCCAACTCTGAGTTATTCCTTATAGGGCTTAAGTACCCTTAAAAGTGTAAGATCATACCCAACTATGAGCTATTCCTTATAGGGTTTCCCTAAACCCTAAACCCTAAACCCTAAACCCTAAACCCTAAACCCATGTAAGTGACCCAGGGTTGTTCGTGAGCCCACTCCTTGCGAAGCATGCTTTGAAGGACACAAGCCGGACGATACAGCCGAGACATGACCAACTGCCGGGCGCTCCCTGAGCCCTATTTAGGGTTTAGGGTTTAGGGTTTAGGGTTTAGGGTTTAGGGTTTAGGGTTTAGGGTTCCCTAAACCGCAGATTCACCATGGAGCTGCCTACTAGTATGCCTAGATGCGGATGCGAGACGCAGGCGAGACGCAGGACTGCACAGAACGCAAGCTTAGGGACGGAGAACTTTAAGCCGCTTGTGAACATGCAACTATCAGCCCCAAAAGGAACCCCCTTTGCCTGTCACCCCCGGCCACCTGAAATTCCGCGGACATATGAGAAGCCCAAAACCGAAAACCCTAAACACCACTTGAAGGTTCATGGTGCTTATTAACCAAATATAACTGTAGTTATCACCCATAAGCCCTTCAGGGCCCTAATCTGGATATATGGGTACAGTTACAAGTACAGTTATATTTGGTTCACAAGTACCATAACCCCAAGCCCTAAAACCTAAACAAACCCTACAGTTATAATTGGTTAATAAGTACCATGAACCTCCAAGCATGCCCCAGTCGAGATTTGGGGAACTGGCGTGATAGGTGCACTGGACATCCTCGGCCATCAGGGGTTTAGGTGCCCAAACAGGGACCCTAGCGTTGAGGACCGCGCAACAACTCTTTTTCTTGTTTTTTTGAGGGGGGGGGGGGGGGGGGGTCCCAGAACACCCTCAACCCTAAACCCTAAACCCTAACCTTTTCTGGGATTCCGTGAAAAGTGAAAAGAAAAACAATGCCTAACTACGAACATCCCCCAACTGGGCCATGTTAAAATAGGGGTTCAGGGTTTAGGGTTTGGGGTTTCATAGGGGTCAGAAAAAATACGAGTATACTCCCTCATTGTCCCTTTATAGCTATAGAATAACATTCCCACCCTTTTCTAAAATAC